GACGATAGGAAGTACACATTTTCTACCTCCCACCGATAGAGATAGAGGTGCAGTAGGCTTGTGGTTTCGGCATTTTATGGCTAGAGCGATATATGCGAGACACTGCCTACCTGCATCCGCGTTATGAAAGTGTCCATAAACAATTTGTAAGTCAAATGCAAGTGTTGTTAAACATATTTACTCTTTTTGGTTTGAAAATGTTTGGTTAAGTAGCTAAAATTCAATAATTTGCTGTTTGTAGGTTTTAGATGTGTAGAAAGTGTTGTTGATTCAATGTTTGGTTTCTGCAGGTTAATCCTGAAGTGAGCTGCGTGAAATGGATGTATGGGTGCAAAAGTTGATTTCATTATTATTTTTTGATTGTTTAATTGATTTGTAAAAGATGATTTGTAAATGTTGATTTGTTTAATTGATGTGTACATAATATTTGTGCTTGTTTAATTGATTGAAATGTAATAGTTGATTTGTTGATTTCAATCTGCATTATGTTGAATGCAAAACAGACTATCGCAACGCGTAAATGACTATCGCAACGAGAGAATCGCAATGCGAAATGAAAATCGCAACGAGTGAATCGCAATGCGAAAATGAAAATCGCAACGCGAAACTAATTTCGCGTTGCGATTTTCATTTTCGCATTGCGATTCACTCGTTGCGATTTTCATTTCACATTGCGATTTTCATTTCGCATTGCGATTTTCATTTCGCATTGTGATTCTCTCGTTGCGATAGTCATTTCCGCGTTCCGCATTGCGATAGTCTTGTGATTTTCATTTTCGCATTGCGATTCACTCGTTGCGATTTTCATTTCGCATTGCGATTTTCATTTCGCATTGCGATTCTCTCGTTGCGATAGTCATTTCCGTGTTGCGATAGTCTATTCCGCATTGCGATAGTCATTTCCGTGTTGCGATAGTCATATTCGCGTTGTGATTTCCGCGTTACGATAGTCAAATGAATGTCTAATAAGTGATAACAACTGAACTTATCATAGCAATGTTCAAACTCAAGTTACTAATACATGCCTAACTGAAAATGTTAAAAGTTCACACATAATATACACATAATACAACGTTTGCATTTAAAAATCACCTAAGTTAACAGTCCCAAAAGGTGAAGCCGGTTGTGATTGGGATTTTGATGAGGATCCATATTTTAGTAGAGGAAAAGATGATTGTGATGGCACTGGTGATCCACATGTCAACCTTGTATGACCACTTTCCTTGCACCGACTACATGTCGATCTCTTCTTCTCTTCACCCTTAGACGGTATACGATCGTGACTTTTTGGTCGGCCAGGTAGCCTTCTGTCCATGGCTGGTAGCAAAACTGTTTGTAAGTCATCTGGTATGTCCCACTCAGAAGGATGTGGAATAGGGTAGTTAATCTCGCCATAAGTCTGTCGATATACTTCTGTAGTGAAGCAATCCATAGCGTATGCACTTGAATCATCTTGGTTTAGATGAAGAGAAACTTTTATAACATGGCCACACGGATAACCAGATGTTTGCCATTTCATACAACTACACGTCTTTGCATTTAGATCGACAAGCCCATTTAAGTTATTATCCAGTACTTCAAACAAAGTGTTTGAACATGGTTCAACTCTCCATGACGTTGACTTCACAACACGTTTCGTTATCTTTTTTTCTGTCCATGGTGTAACACGATGTTCCAATGTTCCTATAAATTTAAATAAATAATACTTAGTAAAATATATGATAAGTTACGAATTTAAAGAAATAATACATGCATGGTTTCTTTTTCTTGTAGTACCACTGTTGAATAGAGGCTCGAAAAAACTCCATTAACATAGTAATGGGTAATTTCCGGGAATGACAACTTAGAGCGTTGATTGATTCTGCATTATTAGACGTTATGAAACCATATCTTACTCCAAGTTGATGTACTCTTGACCATCTTTCAAACCCGACATCTTCTAGTGTTTGAGCACACTGAGGCAAAACACGTCTTAAACAGTTTATATGCTTATTAAAATCCACTTCCCGATAAGCTTTTACAACCTTCCAGTATGTCCATTTTGTGATTTTTTATACTAGCAGACCTTGATTTTAGATTTCTATACAAATGAACACAACAAAGTCCATGAAAAGCATCTGGGAAACACCTTCTAACATCGTTGTCAATTGAGTTTGCCCTATCAGATATGATTGTCAGATTGCTAATAGGACCTATGTAATCCCTAAGATGCCCCATAAACCATGTCCATGAATCAGAGGTTTCAGATTTGCCAACCCCGTAAGCTATTGGCAGTATCCCATTGTTAGCATCCATGGCTACTGCTATAATAACTGGGCGTATGCAATTAATAAACGAACGAATCTACAAAATCATATACACAAGAAATATAATCATTTAAATGTGAAATGCATGTAACTAACAAAAATGAGTCAACAAAATTATATTGATTTACTAACCGTAGCACCAATGGCGATAAACAGCAACTCAAAGCGTCCATCTCTATCTGTTTTGATATGAGTTACCGACCCAGGATTTTTCAGCTTTAAATTGTGACAATAAGCCGGCAGTTGGGCAAACGATGCTTCTGGCGACCCCCTCAACAATTCCAAGGCATAACATTTGGCTCTCCAAGCTTGAGAATATGAGATACTAATCTTGAACCGAGCATTCATGTCAGTCATAATTTCATGTCCCCGATATACCCTACCATTAAAAACATTAACTCAGCCAGAAAACCACCTAACACCTTTTTGTTTTCCTGTCTATTGTGAGGAAAAACTTGGGTTCTTGAACATGTATGTTTATCAATAAAATTCCTAACTTGAAACATTTCGCAATCTTTTATCCTCTTTGCAATCATACGCCACATACAGTTTTTGTCAATCATACACCTTGTTTCGAAACGATATTTGTTTGATTTGTTAACTTTTAATTGATAGCCATCTTCCACACATTTCATATACAAAGCTATCTTCAAGTCTTCATTTGTATCAAAACAATCATCTTTCTTGATACGAATAATTTTTGTGTAATAATCAACTGCTATCTTTACCAACTCTTCTTTCGGTATCTGAAGTAATTCTAGCATATTCCAGTTATACTCCCGTGGCATTTTCTTCGTGGACTTTTCTTTGGGGATTTCTTCTTCTTCTTTTTCTTCTTTAGTGTTATATGAATTACAGAATGGATGTTCAACATGTTCATTTACAGTCGTAACTTCCTCCTCATTATCATCAACAACATCTTCCTCGGCAACGGCTGTTTCATCATCAAAATTCAGGTATTGACCAATATCAAAATCATTACACGCAGGGTCTGTTTCTTCTTCTGAAAAATCATCAAAATCCGAGTATTGACCAAGATCAAAGTCCAGGTATTGACTAAGATCAAATTTCGAATACTGACTAGTACTCACAATTTTTTCTGTTGGCTCATCATCGTCTAACTGGTCAATACGAAAACCGGAATTTAGTGCTGAGAGTTGATTGGATTTGGATTAGGGAAAGGTTGTGGGTTTTGAGATTGTGTTTGGTATTGGAAATGTGGTGAAACAATATTTGCTTGGTGATGAAATTGTGGTGAAACCATTAAATTTTGAGCACCATAAACTGGGGTTGAAAAACTTAGTTGATTACTACCCGCTACTAACCCAACTTCACTACTTCTAGGTTCAACAACATACAATATAACATCATCTTGCGAAACACTAATGTAAGCAATGAATCGTTCAACATCTTCATTGTCGGTTAACAAATAAACTTTACATTTTCTCTGATAAGATAGCCTAAATCCACTTAAGGGCTCTAAATTCAATTTATTTGTAACACGTAACATTAGAGTTTCATAAGTTAACTTTTTTAATGAAAGTTTTAGTTGAAGATTCATGGGTAAAGGCATATATTGTAAAACACCATGAACATTCTCCCATGACCCTCCAAAACACAAATCTATCCAAACATGATCAACATTAGATGATTTCATTATTGTAAATTAATTTACTAAACAAACGTGCTGCGAAACTAAAACCTGTTGCCGGATGGGGAAGGATGTCGTTGGATATAGGAACGAATGTCGCCGGAGAGAGTGATATATGGAGATGGAATGAGTTGCGATTTAGGGATTTAGGTTATAAGTTGCTGCTGCTGCGTAGTTATATACCCAAAACATTTTTGTTGCGAAATTAAAACCTGTTGCGAATTCAGAAATCGAGTTGCGAATTTGAAATTCAGTATTGCGATAGTCAGAATCTCGTTGCGATTTATGTAATCGATGCGATAGTCAGAATCGCGTTGCGAATCTGGAAACTGATTTGCGATACTGGAGATCGCGTTGCGAATTATCGATCGCGTTGCGATTTACGGATACGCGTTGCGATTTTACGTATTGTCGTTACGATTTACGGATACGCATTGCGATTTACGTATTCTCGTTGCGATTTACAGATACGCGTTGCGATTTACGTATTCTCGTTGCGATTTACGGATACGCGTTGCGATTTTACGTATTGTCGTTGCGATTTACGGATATGCGTTGCGATTTTACGCATACTCGTTGCGATAGTCAGAATCGCGTTGCGATTTATATGTTCGCATTGCGATTTTCATATTCACGTTGCGATTCTGGAAAATCGCAATGCGAATTTGTACTATCGCATTGCGATTCTTCATAATCGTGTTGCGATTCTGGGAACTGATTTGCGATTCTGAAGATCGCGTTGCGATTTTTATTTCGCATTGCGATTTTGTTGGTCATTTTGACAAATCCAAAAAAAATTTAATTAAAATCGTATATTATAAGGTATTTTTGGTCACTAACACGATATTCTCTTCTTATTTTCCTTGAAAAATTTGGCTTCGTTTTGATTCGTCCACTACTATTTTCCAGTAAAAGAAAGTTTTCTCAACAAAAGGCAAGTTTTGCCTTTTTGGGTGACTGGGAAAGGGCCTATTTAGTTTCTTGAGCAGTGTTAATGTTCTACTGATATGGGTGCTTTTCTTTTTATGGTTGAAAAATACTAGAAATGTGACATGGATCAACCAGTGAATATTGGGAATGGGAAGCCAGTGATTCCTATCCTTAATGAAAGGACACTGCCCAAGTTTTTGGATTCGGCTCGATTGGAGACAACTGTTAACAGAAATAGTGCTAAGATCAAACTGTTTTCTGGGACTGCCAATCCTGCACTTTCTCAGGTCATTTCGTTACATCTTGATCACTTAATGCTTTCTTTGGTAGAGATTTGTTTTAGGTGTTACTTTCAATTTTTTTGTGCTTGAAAGGTGTTACTTTCAATTACCATGTGGAAATGATAAGATTGCTAGGCTGATTGCCCGTCATCTCTAACGACCCATTCTATTTGAACCAGTCAATATGCTGTACATAATATGCCTGCTTGAATGGCATTCCCCCAATTTGTCGATATAAACAGTCTATTTTACAAATTCATTTTTACAGCTGTTGTACCTTATCAAGCTTCATGCACTTTTAATGCTTTAAGGATTAGGATTACTTGCCGTATCGTATCTGAACTTATGCAAGCATACTTTCTTATTTCTTGAAACTTGTGTTTGCCTGCTCTATTATTGCAGGAAATTGCATGGTACATGGGCCTGGAGCTGGGGAAGATCAACATTAAGCGATTTGCTGATGGGGAAATTTATGTTCAGCTGCAAGAGAGTGTTAGAGGATGTGATGTATATTTAGTGCAACCAACATGCCCTCCTGCAAATGAGAATCTGATGGAGCTTCTCGTAATGGTAGATGCTTGCCGGAGAGCGTCGGCCAAAAATATCACTGTGGTGATTCCTTATTTTGGTTATGCCCGAGCTGATAGAAAGGTAAGTTAACATGTGACTATTTTGTAATAAACTGCAGGAGATGAAATTTGTAGTATCAACTAAGATACCAGCTGCAAATTAAATTGATTAAAAATCTGACCACCCGAAGTAGCCTAGTCCGATAACATTGTATTATTCTTTTTTATCATAATCAGAACAAATTGTGCTATATTGTGTTAGACTTATGTTGATTCAATCAATGTCCTTGCTTTGCAGTTTTCAGCCCATAAGCTATAACTTCAAGCGTTTGAATCATATTGTATTTTTATGATACTAAATTATATTTTGTCTGTAATCATGTTTTCAGACCCAAGGGCGAGAATCAATAGCAGCCAAACTTGTTGCAAATCTTATCACTGAAGCTGGTGCAAATCGTGTTCTTTCTTGTGACCTTCATTCTGGGCAGTCCATGGGCTACTTTGATATTCCAGTGGACCATGTCTACTGCCAGGTATTCAACTATAGAACTTCAACCTTATGGTTGTTTACTGTCGATGGCTAAGCAATTACTAATTTGTATATCCTTTTACTGTCTGGACTGTAGCCTGTGATTCTTGATTATCTTGCCAGCAAGAGAATTTGTTCCACTGACTTGGTAGTGGTTTCACCTGATGTTGGAGGAGTAGCAAGAGCACGTGCTTTTGCCAAAAAACTGTCAGATGCACCTCTAGCCATTGTGGATAAAAGGAGACATGGACACAACGTTGCAGAGGTAATGCGTTCTCCATTTCCCTGCTCTCATTATCTTTTTTTTTTCTTTTCAAATTGATTGTGCAATTATATCTATTGTTATTGATATCAACATTGCAGACCTGGCAGTAGGCTGATGTCTGCTGCCAATAGGTCTTCTAAATCCTCAGTTTCTATTGTATTTCTTGCGTTGCTTCTATGGCTATTACATTATTATTGTCTTCGAGTCCATGACTACTACTACTTTGCAGGTAATGAACCTTATTGGTGATGTAAAGGGAAAAGTTGCTGTTATGGTGGATGATATGATTGACACTGCTGGTGAGTGAAAGCAATGTGCTAAGAGCATAAACATGAACCTCTTTTGAATCACAAATACACATTAGTTTTGCTTATCATGATGTATACAATGGTTAAATGGTGGCAAAAAATTTCATATTGATTACATCTTTTCTGCAAAATTCTATTGCCCCCATCTTTTGGAAATGATAGTTTTATTTTTGTTTTAATTTGCTACCTTGAAAGTGGTCCTTTTTTACCATTGGCTGTGTTATAAATTCTGTTTATGTTATCTGACAAAACTTACTGTGTGTGCTAGGAACGATCGCAAAGGGTGCAGAACTGCTACACCAAGAGGGGGCAAGGGAAGTTTATGCATGCTGTACTCATGCAGTTTTCAGGTCTAAAATTAATTGTCTGAACCATGTTAAAAGTGTCATATGTATCAACCTTTTCATCGATGTCATTTTGCTAATATGTGTATTGCTTTACATGGCAGCCCTCCTGCAAGAGAGAGGCTATCAAGTGGCATTTTCCAAGAAGTGATAATTACAAATACACTTCCAGTGGCAGAGAACTACTTCCCTCAGCTGACGGTTCTTTCCGTGGCTAATCTGTTGGGTGAAACCATTTGGCGTGTGCACGGTGATTGTTCCGTGAGTAGTATTTTTCAGTGAAATCGTATAGGAAAGGAATTACCCAAAGGTGTTTTGTTCTTCAGACCTTTGCTTGATGCCTTGGCTCCAGTGGTAAAACTGGATAATGGACCACAGATAGGAGTAGGTTTTAAATCGAAATCCGGTTTTTAGTCCAAATGGGATGGGGAATCATCACAATCGGTCCTATATCTCATTGATTCTTGCTCTCTGCATGTGCATTGCATAACTTAAGTCTCATAGTTTTCTTTTGCCTAAATTATCTTCCTTTTTCATTTTTCATTACCTTGTACTGGTTGGATGTTCTGTACTAAAACATCAACATAACCTGGTGCATAAAAGCTCCATCATTTCTCTCTGTAAAGGTTCAAATCTTTCTGATACAGTTTTTCTTTTGTAGCCAATGCTATTTGTTTTGTTGTCAATGAAGTACAAACCAATGTTCAGACAACATCAAAGTGTATTCTTCTATTTCTTACATGCTCGTGCTTTTGAACAGAGCCAGATTATATATGTACGTAAGTGAAACACCTTCCATTAAATGTGATTGAATGACCTTTTTTAAGAACATTTTTGCATTCTGTGATTGTAAATAATCGTATTTCCTTCAACAATAATCGGGTATACTTAGCATTTTCCTTTCTGTTTCTTACGTTTTACGAATATTGATCCTGGAAGTTTGGGGTTTTCAATCAGTTGGTTAGATTAACCGATCGAACCGAAATACTTAAAATTCATTAATAGTTTTTTTCTTCCTTTTAACGGTTAATCAAACAGAAGTTTTCAATAAATTTTAAGGAGAGTAAAGTTTGGTTAAATGAATTAACTGAAATTTATAAATAATATATGTTATATATTAAATATTTAATTCGACCAGTTAATTCGGACAATGAGCACCTTTGTGCTTTAACAAAAAATTGAATGCCACGATGCTTCAATCAACAACCAGCACCATTATGCACCAATCCATCAAGGAGTACCATTGTACATTTATACATAAATTATCATTAAAATCAACTAAAAACATACACCTCTGTGTTCTAATACCAAGTGTCACAGACATAACATCTCGACCCTTTCGTTATGCCGTGCAACACTTAAATGGAACACACACCTCAATAATCTATGCCTATGACTAAAACTCATCATAAAACTTTGCCATACTTAACAAGAGTCATTCCTTCTGTTCATCAGCTAATCTCATAACAACCTACCTAAATAGATAAGTCAAACATTAGTTCACAAGCCACAATATAATTGTAAAGCCATAACTATTCTTGGAAGGGAGATCTCATAGGGTATAACTAATGCTAGAGTGCAATCTCTTTCTTTAACCAAGAGCACGATATGGGATCCATAGACCCCAAACAATTCTTAGGTATTTTTCCTAGAGAGACTTGGTTCTAATGCCCACACACCTAGGCCTCTCGTGAGCATAGAAAAAGGTCACTTACACTATGGTAGCTCCACATGCTAGCTCAGGGGATGGTAGAGACCCAACACCAGATCGCTTCCCCTAAAGGGCTAAAGAAACTTATTAGTTATGACACCAATAGACGTTTAAACGCCCCAAATAAAGTCACTACCTTGACTGGCCCTCCATCGCCATTATTCAAGCTTTTCCTTGACTCACGATCGCACCTACTCGATCCACCGTCAGGTTATTATCAGGGCAATCTATTGCTACGGGTTGTTTGCTCTGCCCACCACTTAAGTGGTTTTTGTTTCATCCATCTATTGTTGTATGGCATTGCAATCTATGGTTTCTGCCATTGTTTTTTTTCTACCCAACTTGAAAATTTGTCCGAAATTTAGACTCTGATGTCAATTTATGATGAATCTTCAAGAATTTTTAAAAATGAAATTTGAGAGAAGAGATAAACGAAAGATTTCATAAGAGAAACCTTCATTTAATTTTTAGATAAATCCTTTTCCTTTCCAGTACACGTTTTATCTGATAACATTGTACCAAATCTGGTTGGGCTTGACTCCAAATTCGTTCAATTGGTCCACCAGATAAGTGTTTGGACTCCTCATTAAAATTCTCGTGCCTCTTTTCCTTTTTTTATTTCTAATCGAAATCCGTAACCCTTCTGTCAGTTTTCCCAGTTCTCCTTCGTCTTCTCCGACAATCCCTTTATCTTTGTCATTCGTGAGAAGATCTCAAATTTTATCATACTGTAGTTGGTGATAATAAGATCTCAAACTTTATCAAAGTGTAGTTGGTGCATTACAATGTCACAATTACAACGCCTGATATTTCTTACTCTGTAAATAAGGTCTCTCAGTTTATGCACGAACTAAAAGTTCATCATTGGCAAGTAGTAAAACGAACCATTCATCATCTCAAAGGAACAATTCACCATGGTCTTTTTACTTGGCCATCTTGTAACTTACAGATAGATAATTGTTTTCTCCGATGCTAGTTGGGCTGATAATCCAGATGATAGGCATTCTACACATGGTTATACAGTTTTCTTTGGTGATAATCTCATTAATTGGTCGTCTTCCAAACAGCGAGTAGTTGCCTGTTCAAGAACCGACGCCGAAAATTGAGTCTTAACTGCTGATTTCTCAAATGAACTGAAGAAAACTTGTTGATTAGATGCAAAAGCCCAAACCAGCTTTATCCTCCCCTTCATGGTCTTTAGTGACTATCCACTTCCTGCAAGAATGTTGATACCCTGCTTGAAATGCTCTAATTTTTCATTAAGGCTAGCCTGTTCTTTAATTTGAAATAATTGCAAACCTTGTAATAGGGAAATCATTTAAAAAAGTTTTAATCCACGTTAAAAATACCTTTTAAAGTTACACGCCACGTGAATTTACTTGCGAAAAATATTTATTTTAGTTTACATGGTTATCTTCAAGCTCATATAGGTAAATCATCGAAGAATGCTTCTCAGTTCTCATATGGCAGCTTCATCAAGAACAGATTCTCCAAGAACTTGTAGATAATTTCCAGTAACTACTCCAGGGAACAATATCAACAAATTATTACGTTTTTACTGAAATTCTCGATCAATATAACTAGATTTTCTTTGTTTTCTTCCTTGTACCGTCTGTTGTTGACTGAGAATTGGTCACTTTATTCAGAGTCTGTCTTTATTCAAGTATTTAACATGGACAAAAAAGTGATAAACTTAACTAGAGCTTCATTTTATTTATCATAAATTTCAAGTTTGCTGGTCAACTTCAATCTCCGGAACTCCTCAACTGGTATAGTCCTATACAGTGCTTTGTTCGTCTCAACTATATCTTGCAAAGGATCGATCTGAGTTCCCATTTTTTGATTGTGAAATGATGCGATCGACTGCCTCTCTTTCTCCGGATTAACGACAGCTCTATGTACTACACTTTTGTATTCTCCATTGCTCATAAACTGCATTTACATAACATCTTGACTTAGAGGCACATTAAGTCCAAGTCTATGTAGCTTGAAATAATTGTTATATTACCTCAAGTATGTCTCCGATATTGATGATGAATGCGCCTGGGATGGGTTTAACAGGTACCCATTTCTGGTTTCTCTTGAGTTGTAATCCTTCAACTTCTTTCACTTGAACCTAGAGTGTTAAGGTTGTAGCATCAGAGTGTGGAGATGCACTAAGAACTTTGCTTGCCTGTGCACAGGGTGGATAATAGTTCATTTTTATTCCTTGTTCTTCGTCCTCAAAAAGGCTTAAAAGCATCTCAGGATCTGTCCCCAGGTTTTTGGCAAGAATCTTCATGAGTTGAATCATAACATTATGCAACTCCATTGAGTACTTCTCCAAAGTTGGCCTGAAAACAGCTCAAGTTACAGTCACAGACACCCGATTACGGTCATGAAGTTGACGGATCATTATTGATTTTACCTGAATGAAGGGGGATTGGTGGGCCATAATCTCTTATTTCTTAAGGGCACAGGCAGGCCAAAAAGGAAGAGCATGTCTCCCCAGTCAAGCTTCTGTTCTTCTGATACAATAAAGGCTTGGCCATAGCCTTATCTGTGCACAAGCCATCTGATACCTTATTATGGTTATGAAGTTGAAGGATCATTATTGATTTTACTTGAATAAAGAACGATTGGTCGGCCAGAATCTCATATTTCTTAAGGACACAGGCAGGGGGAAAAGGAAGAGCATGTCGTTCCAATCATGCTTCTGGTCTTCTGATAAAGACTTGGCCATAGCCTTCGATGTGATTCGGTAACAGTGCACAAGTCATCTTCCCCTCCAATGGCAAGTTGAAGAACTCTTGTGCGTCGGTCTTCATTTTCTCAATCACTTCATTTGCTATCCCATGATTGATGAACTGTTTCACCCATCAAATAAAACTGAACTACTAAATCCATTTAGTAAAAAAAAAAGTTACTGTGTATTAATGACTGTTGTGATTAGATTATGTACCTGGAAGAAACCCCAGTGTTTGCAAGCGATATGGAGTTTTTTCTGTTCATCTTCATGGTCTAGCTTGCTCATGTCAATTACAGGAATCAGCAGGGATTCATCTGTGGAAACCACATCGGTTTCAACCTCTGGTCTGATGCATCTGGATGGGATGTTCTTGAGGTTCTTGGATGCAAGAGATTGAGCATTCTCAACAGGTAAATAATCAATTTGTTCAAGTTGAACTGTGTTCTGCACCTTTACTTCCATTGCTGTAAAGCTATCTCAAGTTCTGATCTGAGAAAATTTTGGTTTCTCTTTATAGAATTATCACGTTAATGCGTTAGATAATTTCTTAGAGCGTCATTTGATTCTTGTTTATCATTTCTAATTGTTAAAATACAAACGCTACCAAATCATTTTGTCCTTTTATATGAATTATTGAAAACTATATCTTTATTATTATTATTATTCTCAAATCTTCTCGACATCAAATCTTTGGAAATCTGTAATGGAGAGTCACAAGCACTGAGTAAGAACTATTAATGCACTTTTTTTTACATGAAACTGTTTCTTTGAGCAGTGTTTTGTTTGTCATAACAATATCTGGCAATGGATTAATCTGAGTACCCTTTTTTGGATTGTGAAATGCTGCAATCGGCAGCTGTTCTTTTACCTGATTAAACACAGCTTTATGTTGCATGATTTTACTTTCTCCATTGCCCATAATCTGCATTTATAACCAGGGTTTTAAATGGCATTCGCGGTCACGTTTTCGGTCGCATCGCGTTTATCGCGGTTGCGGACATAACGGATGCCATCGCATTCACTGCGGGTGTCGCGGTCGCGAATTTTTTTTAAATTTTGCACAACTTATCTTAAAACATAATAAAAATAATTATAATTATAAAGAATCATTTATAAAGATTTTTAAAATGTTTTCTAAGCGAAATTAACATATATATATATAATATAGTTTAACCAAATAGAAGACTTTAAAAATCCGATGATATGATAAGATAATTAATTAACGATGACATTATGCATACATTATTATTTAAAAGAAATAATACTATCAACATAGGAAAAAATTAATAAATTAAAATGGATAAAAATAAGTTTTGCTATAACTATGAGATAAGAAATTATTTACCATTTTATCAAAGAGTTATCCTTCACTGAAAAACTCAAGAATATATATATATATATATATATATATATATATATATCAAATGTAAGCAAAAAGAACAACACATATCTCATGCGATAATTAAAGTAAGAAAATAATCTTCATTAAAGCAAGAGCATAAAAGTACGATGTACAATAATTAAAACAACACATACCTCATGTAACATAACTATGTTAAGATGTACAATACTTAAAACAACACATACCTCATGCAAGCAACCTAACTATGTCAAGATGTTCAACAATCTTCATTATGGGTGTCTCTCTTTTAATCTAAAAACAATCAAACAATGTAAATTAAAAATCCAAAAAATGATAACTAATTAAATGCCATAGAAATATAGATTCTTTTGGTAGGTCAAACATACCTTATAAATGGGGTGGTAACAGTTTCACCAATTAGTGGAATAACGAGGAAGATCATATCCTTCACCTGCACTTTGAGAGTGATCTCCACTTGATCTTTGTGGTCTTTGTCAAAAAATATATCCAAAAAATGTAACATTTTCACCTTGATTTTCAAATAATTGAGATGGATGATATACTTGAGGAGGAGGATACATGTGAGGTGGAGGTGGGTGATACATTGGTGGTGGAGGGTACATTTGAGGATGATATGGCACACTATAATTAGGAAATGGTGGATAAAAACCATGTGAAGGTTGAAAATATGAATATTGTCCCTGTGGATAAAAATCATGAGTGCTAGTATATGAATTGCTATACTCAGGGTTACTAGAAGTTGATCTTCTGCCAGAAGAAGAACCTTCAGAAGTATGTTTTCTGGTGTCTTTCCCTTTTCCTTTTGATTGAGCTCTTGGTTCACTTCTTTCTCTACTAGATGAAGCACGGAAATGTCCACTACCTATATAAACATATTGTTCTCCATACCGATTAGAAGATCTAAATTCAGCTCCATCATCACTCTGTCTATCATCGTCATCAATTGGACTTAAACCACCACCATCGGTCCCATCACCACTTTGACTTGGTGTTGCACTATAACTTGAATGAGATAAATTTTGTTGTTGAGATTGATCATTAACATTCATTTCATCATCTGAGGTATCCACAGGCAACACACCAAGATTTTCACCATCTAATAATGGATTCCCTTTCTCTTGAAGTCATTCTGATAGTGAATCAACATCTTCAAAGATATTATCAAGGCTGATAGGATTGTAACTAGCGTTTATATCATCAATGCTCATTCTTTTTTGATGCCTCATTTTAAGTCTCATATTATAATAGGTAAACACTAGTTTCTCAAATTTTTTGTACTTCAATCGGTTTCTTGCTTTGGTGTGAATATAGCTGAATGTGCTTCAATTTCGTTCACAATTTGATGTGGAAGTTGTTTGACTAAGCACTTTAATTGCTAATCGTTGTAATTCAGGAATACATGTGCCATATATCATCCACCACTCAGCTGCATAATATTATTTAAATTTCAAACTAACATCAAAATGTACATATATAATTAAATAATATAATTAACTATTTACCTGGATTTATTTGATTCCAAGCTCTTTGTGCCTGTGGAGTACCAAATGTCTCGTGTTTACTTTGAAATAGTAACAACTGCATAAATAAAAGTTTAAGTTAAAATGAGAAAAATATTTCAATTTCAAATTATTTAATTAAGTTACAAATAATATTACTTGAATGAATCTAACATGATTAACCATTATGATTTGATTATCAATAGAAGGTTCTAATCTTTCAATCACTGATCTTGTTCCTTCTAATGTTTCTGCTAATACATTCTCAGAATGCTCCACCCCAAATTGAAATTGAGGATTGAGAAAATAACCTAATCATAATTTATGCTCAAATGATAATAATATAAATTATAAATTATAAAACTTAAAACTTAAAATAAAAAAAATAACTCTTAATGATATGATATGTTTTATCTTACCAGCTGAATGCAAGTCGGAATGCATAAAATTCCATCTATTGTCAATAATTCTTTCATAATCGATGGAATATCGACAATTTTCCTTAATTGCTCGTTTAGCTCTATCAACGGCCTCATAAATAAAACCAATAGTTGGTTTTTCATCACCATCAACAAGCTTTAGCACTTTGACTAGGGGTTCGTAAACTTTTATGATATCAACGGCTTTTTTCCAAAAATCTTTTCCCAAAACAATTTTTTTGGCTTCATAAGCATGCCCTGATTTTTGTTGTCCCCATTTTGATTCTCTGAATTTCTATATTTAATAAGAAAAAAAATCAATAACATAATTTAACTTATTTAAAAATTGGAACTAATAAAATCATTAAATATTGTTATATTTGAGTAATAAGTAACTGTATTAACTAATTATAAAATACTGACCTTTGACTTAAACATCTATCTCAAACCTTGTTATCTCCTCAAGTTGTATGAAATGAGTAGCGAATCGAGTAAGAGCAAGGTGAAGAATTTGCTTACCGTGAGTATATTTCTTCAACAAATCAACGGTCCAAATGTGATTATATATGAAGCATGTCACTTTCTTTGCTTCCTCTAACACTTTTTGCTACACTAGACTTTTTTCCAATATCCTCAAGACATAAATCTAAGCAGTGAGCTACACATGAGGTCCAATAAAGATGGTTTCTTTTCAACATTAATCTTTTCCCAGCGGCTTTCATTGCTGCCTCATTGTCGGTCACTATTTGGATAATGTATTCTTCCCCAATTTCTTCAACAACTTTGTCTAACAAATTATAGTAGAATTCAACATCTCTACTACGAACGCTCGAGATATCCACAGATTTCCAAAATGCAGTTCCTTTACTACAATAAACAATGAAGTTGATGATGTGCATTTGATTTAAACTATTGGTCCAACCATCACACATCAGAGTTGCACCCAGTTGTTTCCAATGCGTCTTCAGTTCATTTACCCATTCACGAACTTGTTCATACTCCAATGTCAAATACACATCTGAAATCTCATAAGGTGTTGGGAGCTTTACACCTTTTCCAACTTCCATTGATACTTGAATTAAGTTATACAACCAAGGCGAGCTTGCTAACCGAAAAGGAAGGCGATCGTATATTATAAATTTTGAGACCGCTTCACCCATCTTTTTATGCAATGTCTTTAAAATAGACTCTCTAACCTTTGGTTGTCTTGAGCTTTTGCTCTTAACCAATTCAGGTATAGTTCCCCTTAAACTAAATTCAGATATTTCTTCACGATATCTTCCACGTGATCCAAGAGAAGAAGATCGTCCTTCTTCATAAATGTTATCCCAACCACCCGTACTTCGTCTGAATTCTTCTCTTCTATGCCATTCGTGTTGGGATTGGATACTTTCTTGAGTGGCTTGTCTCATAGCAGAAACATCATCTACGAATTCATCCTCTTCTTCCCTTAATTGTGATAAGAATTCATATGTTCTCATTTTTTTGTCAATTTTTCTTTTCCTTGGCTTCTTTAAGTAATTTCATCATGCTTTCTCTAATGATACCTGTAATCAAATAAATATAATTCACACTATTAATAATGTATAATATTTATTATTAATATATAAAAATAATTATAAAGTATATTTTTTCTAAAGAAAGTATAAAGAATCAGTAACACATATTCACATACCAGTGACATTAGGACATGGTGCGACTTCACCGGTTTTATGAGCAATGTGTTCTTTAAACCGTGTTATTCCTCCTTTCACAACTTTGCCACAAAGTTTACATACAACATTTCCTTTCGTATTTGGAACTGAATCTCCAAAGTGCCAACCTATATCTCTACTCGGTGCACCTTCTAATCTTTCAGTCGGGAACTTTTCAATACGTGGTGGCATGCTTCAATTTCAATAAAAACTAAAATTAATATATACGTAAAGTTAAACAAAAATATAATTTTCCTAGCTTGTAAACAAAAATATAAGTTAAACTGAAACTAAATAAAATATATGAAAATATTAGAAGTTTAAAATACTCTTCTATTAACTAATCTAAAATAAAAAGCAATTTTCTAATAAAAATTTATTTTTTATATTCAATAGCATTTAAATATGAATATTTGTAGATAATATTTTAAATATAGAAAATTGTATATTCATATTACAATGTGCACAGTTCTGAACATTTATCATATGTTGATAGCATTTACATATTGAATGAAGATAAAGTTAGTGACAGTAAGATAACAAGCAATTCCCTCGGTGGTGCATGAAATAATTTTACATATTTTCATTTTTTTAATATAACCCACACTCATTGAATTGAGTTAGCTGTTTAATTTAATTTCAAAACTATATAATAAAAGGCAACTATGGAATTCTGAAGACCAGCATTTTTGTTTTTTTAATATATGTGGATTTTAATAATATATTTCTCAAATTTAGATTATTAAAACCGTGATCCGTATTTAATCTAAAAAATCGAATATTTAAATTTTCAAATTGGATATCTAAATATAAATTTTAATTTAACAAAAAATAATTTTAAATTTAATATTTTGTGATTTTATACAATTTATTATATATCTATATTATATATATATATTTATCAAAATATGCTTGAACAAAGTAAAAAAAAAATCTTAATATGCCATTTCAAACCTTAAAAAATAAATAATATAAAAGGTTAAAAAGGAAGAAGAACTTACTGGATTCAATTATAAAATATGCAACCATTAAGAGTTAATATATTCTAATTTTAAGGCCCGTTGGGTAGTGATTAGGCATTGAATCTTTCAGTAATTTTAGGGTCAATTTTTTATTAGTTATTTGGATGATTTTTGTCTAATCAAATGTGTAAAAAAATTTACATATTATCTTATTATAAAAAAAACAAATTAAATATCTCAACTTCCAAGAGATGTCCCAGAAGTTTCTCAGCTCTTCTCACTCCCAGTTTCCACTTCTCTCAAGTCAAAGCCATCTTCTTCGTTTTTTTTCCATTCTCATTCCCAGTTAATTTTTTTTCAGTTTTCACCCCACCTATTTCACTCTTTCATATTTGAAATCAAAACCTCAAATCCCCTAGTGAAGATTGTATCTTCAATCTTCCTAAACTAAGCAGCAAAAAAAAAATTACCTTCTTAAATGGAAGCGGGAAGCTTGATGCCTTGATCTACTCCTTCACCGGCGGCGAAGCTCGACGAACAGCTTTATTTTTCCAGCTCTTTCCCTTCTCGATTGGTTTTTGGTAAGATGTGTAATGTGTGGATATTTGAGTTCACGGTTGATTAAATAATCTATTTTGTTTTGTCCCACTCCCTACTCTGGTTGTAACTTGTAAGTAATTTTTCTTTCTTTTCAGTTTTCAGTTCACTTTTCACTATACTTGTGGGCTCACAAGTTGCAGGGAATATATTCCCTTAATTTTCTTTTTTGTTTTCTATACGATGATTGCAATGAACGTTGATTTTTGTATTTGTATTGGAATCACGGTTGAATAACGGTGATTGCGTCCCGTTATCAGCGTAATCGTTCGTTTCCCGTTAAATTACGGGTGCAATCCACCGTGATCGATGTGAATCTGTGACCCACCACAAAAACCACGTATAGTTGTTTCGGACGGTGGCGCGACCGCAATATCGCGGCCGCTATAGCGTTTTCGGAACGCTATTTGATACCCATTATAACATCTCTGTAGTCTTTGCTAAGGTACATTACATTTACGATCCATTTTCTTCAAGCATATTAGGATGCAGACAAGCTCCCCAACAAGATCAATACGCCACTACCTAGTAGATGAATCATTTAAATTGGAAACCCTAATGAGGCGAGAAGGATCCAGACAAGCTCTGTGTAGAGCCATGGGAGACCACTATTGAACCCACTAATAAGAAAAGCTAGATGTGGAAGAACCAACACCGATTTGGTGAGTCTTAATAACAAATAGTAAACGTTGAAGAAAAATGTTTGATTGTAAAATTAGAAAATAATTTTTAAAATATAAAAATTTAAAAGTTGAAAACATAAAGGATATGTTTTCAATATTTTCCAAAAGTTGTTTTAAAAATTTTAAAAATAAAAAAAATACGAGATTTAGGTTTCGCAAGTTCAAATCTTTCTAACAATATTCTTTTTATTTAATAGTATATCTCATACCTTTACACAAAAGTTAAGTCGATCCATGAAATTTTTTTATACTCAATATAGTCTTTAAACTAAAGAAAAAACGAATTACCTTTTAACCAATGAAACCGAACATTGACAATTACGATGTTGAAGTGGTGGTCCATATCAGTATCATGGATTACTACATAAACATCGTGAATTGACATATAAGTATCGTGATTGTCGACATTTGATTTCGTTGGTCAAAGAATTACATTAATATTTTTCTGAGTCTAAGGTCCCTTGCACTATTTTTTTTTGGGTGTAAAAGTTTAAACGCATGAGATACATTAAACCTAGTTTTTATGTTAATGATATTTTTGCTTGTACTTTTGCTTATAATATTATTTTTTACTATCTTTTCTTTAATTTAATTGGTTAAAAATATTTTTTAAGTTATACGCTACATGAATTTACACATGAAAAATATTGATTTTACTATTTTAGTTTACATGGTTATCTTCAAGCTCATATCTGTAAATCATCGAAGAATGCTTCCCGGTTCTCATATGGCAACGTCATCAAGAAACAAATTCTCCAAGAACATTTAGATAAATTCCAGTAACTATTCCAGAGAACAATATGAACAAATTACTACGTTTTCACGCAACAGTCGTCGAAGTTCTCGATCAATGTAACTGGTTTTCTTATTTGAACCGAGTGTTTGCTAAGTCTATGTCTATGTAGCTTCAAATAGTGTTATATTAGATCCTATAACTCCATTTCCTTAAAGAATGTTAATGTTTCCAATGCTTCAGTTTCACTGTCAAATGATAAAAGCACAGGCCATAATATCCCAGTTGACAGTACCCTAATTAGTCATTAATATTTACTTTGAACAGATCACAAATATTGTATCAGTTGAGAGAGATCATTTGGGAGTATGAGTCGAACGCATTATGAAGTGTTAACATGAGATGTAACTGCTACTATAAATGCAATGTAGTTGTCAACTTGACCCTCGTCATTCAGCCTCTGATTCTCCATTACTTCAGGTCATTGCAAATGATGCGTTTCTCCTTTTTAGTGTGCTAGCAACTCCGATTATGACCCGTCCTAATCATAGGCCATTAATGCAGGGTCCATTATAGATTTCCAAAGATTTGTAATAGTAAAATGAAAGATATATTTTTCAATAATTCGTATAAATAGACAAAATGATTTGATAGTGTTTGTATTTTAGCAAGTAGAACTCGTAAACAAAACTCATTTAGTGACTTTGATTAAGAGAGTATTGTTCTTTCTTGAAGTCTCGGATTCTAATAGTGTTTTTTTCAAAGTTGAATTTTACATTGTCTCTCCATATCCAAATAGTGTTTATTTGATTATTCTATTGATTTATCTTTTCTTTGGACCCTCAAATTAGACATTGATAAGCGTTCGTAATCATCGAAGATAGATCGTGATTGAATTGTGACAATGTCAGTTTATCAACAATCCGTCATTATTATATGTGATTTTAAGTTAGTATTGATGATGTTTATCTTTCACTTGTCGACAGTAATGATTGTTTATATCTATCATTTCTTTAAGTTATTTAGTTGAATTTCTGATTAATTTTCTTTGTATGATTCTCCTTTAATTGTAGTGGTTAGTTTGTGGCCTTTTTCTATAATTTTAAAATAATATCTCGTTATTTAATAAAATTAATGTCTATTATTAGTTCAAAAAGAAATAATAAATAAGAATCAAATGGCGATTTAAGAAATTACCTAATGCATTAAAGTGATAATATTACAAAGAGATTATTTTTTTTCTCATATAACTTAAGATAGCTCATACTAGTTGTAACTACTGTGAAGCTTTCTTAGATTTGTTTTTTCTTGTAAATTTGTAGATATTAAATCTTTTTAATTTTTAATTCTTTGTAAATATTATCTGATTTTGTATCTAAAAATCAATTTGAATATACCACAAAATTTTTAAATATTAGATTTTTACTACAAAGTTTACGACGTATAAAATCTTTAAATATTAGAATATATCAAGATTAAATTTTTTTAATAGTCTGAGGAGAACAGAATCTAAGAGTTCTTCAACTTGCTTTTGGAGGAGAAGATGGCTTGTGCACAGATACCGAATCACATCGAAGGCTATGGCCAAGCCTTTATTGTATCAGAAGAACAGAAGCTTGATTGGGGAGTCATGCTCTTCCTTTTTGGCCTGCCTGGCTGCCTGTGCCCTTAAGAAATAAGAGATTCTGGCCGACCAATCCCCCTTCATTCAGGTAAAATCAATAATGAATAATGATCGGTCAACTTCATGACCGTAATCGGGTGTCTGTGACTGTAACTTTAGCTGTTTTCAGGCCAACTTTGGAGAATTACTCAATGGAGTTGCATAATGTTATGATTCAACTCATGAAGCTCATTGCCAAGAACTTGGGGACAGATCCTGAGAAGCTTTTAAGCTTTTTTGAGGATGAAATACAAGGGATAAAATTGAACTATTATCCACCATGTCCAGAAGCAAGCAAGGTTCTTGGTGCATCTCCACACTCTGATACTACAGCCTTAACACTCTTGCTTCAAGTGAATGAAGTTGAAGGATTACAGTTCAATAGAAACCAGAAATGGGTACCTGTTAAACCCATCCCAAACGCATTCATCATCAATATCGGAGACGTGCTTGAGGTAATATAACAAATATTTCCAGCTACAAATATTTCAAGCTACATAGACTTAAACTTTGATGTAATATGAATGCAGATTCTGAGCAATGGAGAATACAAAAGCGTAGTGCATAGAGCTGTGGTTAATCCGGAGAAAGAGCGGCTGTCGATTGCATCATTTCACTGTCAAAAAATGGGAACTCAGATTGGTCCTTTGGAAGATCTTGTTCAGACGAACAAGGCACTGTATAAGACTCTACCGATTGAGGAGTTCCGGAGGTTGAAGATGACCAGCAAACTTGATGGGAAATTTATGATAAATAAAGACAGATTCTGAATAAAGTGGTTAATTCTCGGTCAATAACATTCGGTGCAAGGAATAAAACAAAGAAAATCTAGTTATATTGATCGAGAATTTCAGCCATTGTTTGGTGAAACTGAAAACGTAATGATTTGTTCATATTGTTCTCTGGAGTATTTACTGAAATTTATCTAAATGTTCTTGTAGAATCTGTTCTTGATGACGCTGCCATGTGAGAACCTTCTTCGATTATTTACCTACATGTGCTACAAAAATCGAGTGTTCCAAAAGAATCTGATTTACCTATATGGACTATATTAACTGCAAATCCAATAGATGCATTAAATGAAAGGTATATACATGTACTTGAAACGAGAATATTTAGAATAAATACTCAAAGGTCTGATTTGTTTTCCCAGACATAAAGATGACAAAAAATGAAACGGATATGATCAATCCAAAAGAAAAATAGTTTCTTATTACTAATCTATCCATATTTGTTTGAGTTTGTGGAAGTTTGTCCACCATTAAAAATCCACAAATAATAGTTGGGTGCAATTATCCTTGAATGAGAGGGTAAATTGAGCCCCGTTGCTCATAATCTGAATTAAAATAAAATAGAAAATAAATTCTCTTCAGGGAAATATTAATTTTCTTGAAGGATTGAATTCGAATAATTGTATCTACAGAGAATGTGTATACTAAATCTGTCAAGATAAATATGTGGCATCAGGTTCTTAGCAATCAGCTTCATGAGTGAACCATAGCCTTCTAGTAGGATTCTTAGAAAACTTCGATATATGTTGTACTTGTCATACTTTTCTTCCATGTTTATGTCTTAACCTCTTTGTCTGAAACTCTTCAGGTTAGGCCCTGCTTGCTTTTCACTAACGATGTCTCCATTGTTGTCCTAAAGAAGTGATGCATCACATCCCTGAGACCCCACATCAGAGATATCAATTAAACCATTAGAACTGAGGAATTAATGAAAGGTGAGCAAATATGATTAGCTTGATGAGTTGATGAAACTATGACCATGAACTCTCTTGAGCCTTCTTACGTTCCAAAATTATGACCGGGATACAGATAAAAGAAATCTAACCATCACAAAGCAATCCTGAAAATGCAAGCGAAGGAGCAAAGTGACCATTTGAGGATCTTCGACGCTCAATGTAATTTTGACCGCCTTTAAAACCAAAACCAGGAATATGCAGAACGCTCTAGTAATCTCCATTGAAGCAAACGAAAATAATACTGTATATAGAATCAAGATGGCTCATAGGATAGGAATGTTGCAGCAACAGATATCAATCTATATATGGGCACACGTTTTGACAGTCATGGTTTTCTTGTACCATTAATGTATCTTCTGTTTTTTTCTACCTAACTTATCTTGAAAATAAAAATTTTCCTTTGAGCTCTTGTTGTTTATTCAGTCAATTTGTGGTTCTAGCTCTTTAACCTTTTTCCATCATTCTGAATTTTCAATGAACTTCTCAAAGTTCCAATTTAGTTCATAACATCACCAAAATGTAGCTTAAACTTCCATTATTTTGGCTACATCGACAGAAAAATGGAAAAAAAACAAGGCAAGATAAACTGTAAAGCTGAAGTTTCTGCAAAAAAATTTGTGATTAGAACTAACTTTAAGAAGAGTTTGTAGAACTATGAACTTGGAACAGTGACTATATGACAGGAAGAAAAAAAAAGAATTTTAGTTCCTATACATTCAGCCCCACTAATATGACATGTTTTAATGCTGTTATTAAATATGTCACAATAGTCTGACTACAAAACTACTTAATATCCTTCTGTTATCTCTTGAACACAAAGTAGCACCATATTTCCTGTAATGGTATGCCAATGAATCCTCAGGTAGCATCTCGGAACATGTTCCCAAATAAAAAGACGCCTTCCTTTCACCTTAACGACTTAAAGCTGCATCTGTAATAATACATGTAATTAGAAATGCAAAGAGAAATTGAAAGAAAAATTATGGTAAATCATTGAACGTCAAATTAGAGAAATAAAGTATCACTGGAGAATGTCATATCCATTTTCAGAGGTCTTTACAAAAACTTATATGAAAAGTGCAGAGAGGACAATCATAAAGGCATGCTCGGTAACTGGTTAATTGTTGAGTTGTATTACCTGGTTTCTGCTAAAGTTCGAAGTCCTCATTTTCATCAAAGATAATGTCAGGATGGACGGCAGCAGTGCTAACATTGAGAGCCCTTTTCAACTTCCTATGGTTGAAGACTTCAACTTCTAGCAAAAAGGTTGAACTGACGGGTCGATGATCCGAGAGTCTTATTTCTGCTCGCTGATAACAAAGTTGTTTTATGCCTTTTCCTGACCAGAGTATACGATCACACCTATCAAGGGAATTAATACATGTTATAAGAAATTGAACAATAAGGAACTTTATGAATAACCAGTGGCATTGTGCCAGAAATGTTCGATTTCCAGAAATCTTTTCTAACTTTGATGATATCATATTTCTTGTCCATCTACTTTACAAAAGCTATTACTTACCATGCCGGAGATCTCTTCTTCTCCCCTTCTCTAGGGATCTCACCGACATATCTATCCGAGTCCATTTCATACTTGTATGTGGGAGGAAAGTTTATTACCCCTTCTTTCCATCCATCAAATACATGTCCACTACTCAGTTCATTATGAAGCTATGGAACAGAATTGAAGCCATTAACTTTTTCCATTAAAAAAGTTTGTATGATAAGGTAAAACTAGATAACTGTGATGCTCACCTGATCATTGTTGATAAGATCGTCCCAGCGCTTTAAAGCAACAAGCTTTCTCACCTCGGCGTCCAACATATTGAGACGATAATTTAAATCCCCGAACCAAAATATCTGACTGTTAGGAGAAAGCAACCATTTAGAAACTAATATCTCATGTTGGATCAAGAATTAATCATAAGGAAAAAACCTCAACCATCAAAGTTAATAATTCAGCAATGATTAGTAAGTTACTTACTCATGAGATGGAATTGTTAGGGGTTGTTCTGTATCAAGGGCAGATGAGAAATGGGTACGTCGTGTAATTTCATACACGTCAGAGTTACGTTTTTGTTCAGCTCCGACCTTATGACCTGATGTCAGATGAGAACACACAAAGCACAGCCTGGATTGAAAAAGTGTCATGCTTACAGAAACCGATCCCTGCAGAAGTGCAAACCATAAAGCAATCAATAATAGTACCTATTGCAACACAACAACATTTGGATGGCATTGATCCATCAAATCAAAGAAGATCAATATAGAATTGAAACGAATGGAAGCAGTCCATCCCTAGAGTGATGCCACCAATATAATTCCCTGCAAAGGTATTTACGGAACCTACGATTACCTTGTTTCCCATGTAGCCCATAAGACCAATTCCAACGGGAGAGACTTTCAAATTGTTTATATGTCTTCTCAGCCTCTTTCGTACCCATATAGATATGTATATTCCAACCATCTGCTTGCTAACTATCCTTACATACATCGGATGTGACCCTGCCCCATCATTGTCATGTTGCTCCATTGGTTCCTCCAAGAAAGTATCATCCTCCTCTTCGGGAAACTCGTCAGATACTTCAGAGAAGGAATCAACAGCTTCAAGATTTGGTAGCTCATGCAGCAACATTGACTCTAGGTTTCCAGAGCTATGGTGTGATCTTTGCAGTCTGCTTCCTGTTAACACCACAGGATGTGGACTACAGAAGGAGTTTTCCGCCATAGTAAAGCCTATTCTAGCCGAGCTGCTCAGTACTCTCCGCAATTTCGAATGTGAAGAAACAACTTGTGGGGTTGCATCTAGCGAGTGTTCTGGCCAGTCCAACCGAGTGTCAAAATCGACACCATATATTCTCTTCAGATTTAAATTTTGTCCAATATCAGAAACTTTCTTCAAATCTTTTTCTTTGAAGTCGCAGCCATTAGCAGCCTCCAGATACTCATCGCACATCATTTGCAACGGCAGAGCATCTATTTTGTCTGCTAATACATCTGCAACCGAAGAAGTCCGTAGCACAGGAGAAGGTGGGGCACTATAGTATTTATGCTTGCTTTCAGGTTCCAAAGATTTGTTCAGAGTTCTTCGAATGATCAACTCCCATTTAGGAATCGGCCTGTTATCCTCAGCTCCGAATACATTTCCAGCATTCAAAGGGACCACCTCCTGGAAGCTGTCCAAAGCAGATCTAGTATTAAAATATTGGATGAAAAAAATGACACATCTAACAACCAAACCAATATTCAAATAACTTGCATATGCTCATGGGCTTACTCATCTACAACAGGAAGAGATGTGGAAGATTAAACCTCAAATGATATAAGATCCACCAACGAAAGGAAAATACTCACCCGATAATGTAAATATCAGCTGGATCTTCGGTGCAAAGCCAATCATCAATCTCGAGATCCTCGGATGGAAGTCTTCCAGCAACATTCCAAGTGCCTATTGTAACCCTATAGGCAACCACAATATGTTTTGATAAATATTAAAACACAAACGCCTTAAGGTTTACAGTTTAAGCATAAGCATCTTGTGGACAAACCTCACATCCTTTGTATTTATGTACTGTGCACGCAGAGTTTCCGATTTCCCCCTCCTGTGTCTTAACCGGTAACCCGAACAGGGTGCATCTGAACATCGAAACATCAAAGCCATACAAAACAAGTTTAGACAAACAAATCAATAGATAACAACGATTTACTTAAGACCATAATAATACAATGATAGGGAACAAGAAGCAGCATAGATGAGTTTGAATATGCTCTTAAGCGCAAAGAAATATTGAAGAAATTTATTGCCTGAAATTCGGCTTCTGCAGTCAGATTGGTTTCCTAGTGTCCTACGGGTATGATCCTCACCATCGTGCAATCTCGAGTACTTAACATAGCAAGCTGGATGAAAATTCAAGAAAAACACCATCAAAAGAAAGAAAGTACAAGGAAAAATAGTAGTTGTTCAATATGACAGGACAATACCGTCATCTTCACTCTCGGTTTCGGTTTCGACCTCGTCTTCACTGAAATCATACACCTTTGGCTTTATATTCAACCATTTCTTCATCACAACGGATGGCCAAAAGGACTAAAAAAAATTTAACCAAGTTAACAATTCAAACATCACTTTTGATCTAAATTGCAGATTTGGATGAAAACAAAAACCAAGAAGCACCGGAAGCATACCTCGGAACGCTTTCTCGTCCTAGCTTTCATAGTCTTTAATCAAAAGGATTTGTGAAAAGATATAAGCTTTCAAAGAACAGGTTCTAGAACTTGAAAATGGAAGCAAGAGCTGGGGTCTGAACCGGCTGATATTCACAGTTCTATGAGATCAATATAAAGAATTTGAAACATACAGTTACGACAAAAGCCCGAATTCAGGTCACTTGGTGCCAAGCGCAAGGAAGATTCATGCTAGAACCTAACAGAGAAAGACAACATGTTTAATAGGCATCCAAAACCTCAACTTGCATTTAAAAAAAAAAAGATTTCTCAATGGTCCTCTTCCACACGTCCTAATTTCTTCTGCTGGAAAACGGCTAAAAGCAATTTTTAATCTTATAAAATACTCAATAATAACCATAAAAACAGACCCAGAAAAAAAATCAAAAAGGTCACTTTCAATACTATAAAACAACTACACTCCTAATTCAATTTATAATGCAACACGCTTTCAGTTCAAGCAAATGCACTGCAATTGACAGAGTTGTAAAAGAGAAAACAATACTACTTTTAACTCTTATGGAAAACCCAACAAGACTGAAACTTGTAACAAATGTATACCCAGACAAAATAGCAAACTTCACCTTAAGATAATACACTAGTAGAACCCAGATCATCAAACTAACCCTTAAACTAAACGCAAAAAAAATCTCACCACAAATGTTGAAGATGATGACAAGATAAACCAAAGGAAAACGCTGATTAAGACAGGCAACAGTAAATTCCATAATGGGGGAAGAGAAACTGATCATCATACCATTCAGCAGTCAGGATTTGGTTAGAGCCCACCATTATACTAAATAAACGACATGGCTTAAAACATGAAGCAATCCAAATAAACAAACTGGAACTTGGCAATATAAGAGAGTTATTTAGTCAAATGGGTAATCGGCATTCAACACAAAGTAAACAACAACAGCTGTAGACCCCAATTGGGTGGACGGTTTCATGCAAAACATATCTTCTATAAACAGAATTATATATATATATAATACTATGATAATGAAGTCAACCATTTTGTTTAAGCATGTAAAATAATTAAGATTAGATGTTTGAAAAGTTGACACATGAGCTGTAACCAAAAGGGACCACATAAGCTGGATCACCCGCACTATATGTGATGGTAAATAGCCTTCTGTGTTTCAACTGAAAAGCCTCGTCTGTTTCCCTCAAAATGAAAACTTTTTCTTGATTTTCTTTAGGTTTTAACTATGGGATAAGGATTAAATAAGCACAAAGGCATCTCTTTTCATCCTTTGCTCTCTCCTATGTTACATTCTACGGCAAGTTGTACTAAAGGCTAAGTGAAGTTAAAATTAAGGCAAGAAGTATAAAGTTTGGAACTTTGAGTGTGAACTCAAACTATTAGGCAGTGTTACTAAACTTGGGTGATTAGTACTTACAACTTGTCACCAATTTCAACTTGTCATCTCATTTTATCATTTTTTTTTATTGAAACACTCAAATACTTCATTTTTTTCATATAAATTTGTATTTAATGTATTATAATTTTTGGAACAAGAGTACAAATTGTTAATCTTATAATAGCTGGAAAACATGTCAAGCCAGCTCAGTACCCACTAAAGAAAATCCAAGTTTCTTTCTTGAAAAATCAAAGGGTATGGTCTATATGCATTGCCAAGATATCATAATTTTAATTTACATTACCTACTTTAACTTAATATCTTGGTTAAGGTTAGGCAGAGGTTGTGATTTGGAATAGATTATGCATTTTTTTCTCTTTTAGATATTTGCAAATTATAGTGCTTCGATTCCCCTAGCCATTGCGTTTCCTTTAAAAAAAGGTTAAGTTGTATCGATGGTCACTCAATTAAAAAAATTGTTTATTTCAACCTTTCAATCATTATATCTCTAACTAATTTGATTCAACATGTCATTTTATTTTTCCGAATAAATTAAATACATATTATATAATTAAAATAGAACTATAAATCTTTATTTTTCCGAAGTGAGTCATCAAATGACAATTCACACTAAAAAAGGATTTGGTCCCCAAGGAAGAATAATGCAGAAAGAGGCCAACTTCAAAGTATATATTGGCAAAGCTTTCTTTTTTTACACTTAAAATGTTCAACCATGCCTTGGCTTTAGTTCACATCAGCTGTTCCAAACACAGCAAAGAACTATCTTTTTTTTTTCAAGCTTAACCCTTACTTTTCTTTTTCCCATGGTGACCACTAATTAAAAAGAAATAAAATCTCAAAAAGATAATAAAGATAAAAGGATAAGAATGAAGTGACATGGAAGAACCAACTATTCTATGTACCCATCAAATTAATCCACTGTTGTAAATTTTGGATGGATCACAAAATTTAAATTGTGATAAGAAAATTTTAAAAATGAATTATATTCTTTTCGATAAATTATAAATTGTCACTCAATTTTCTTCTTACTCCTATTTTGACCAATAAAGTTTAATTTTTTTTTTAGTTTACTCATTGAACTTTTGATATACTCATATTTTGATCACTCGAGCGTTAAATCAGAAATGGAATAATGACATGGTAGCCACATATGCTAATGTGGATTTTTGTTGACATGGCATTCACATGTCATCCACATCATTTTCCCATTTTTCTTTCTTTATTTATTTTATCTTCTTCCTCCAAAGATGAAAGTCTTATAGTTTCATCCTTGTGACACTGAAATCACCATTCTTTAGCATCTTCTTTGACCACTTAAGACACGGATAAACTCGCCTTATCGTCTTTTACCACTTTATATGTTTTAGATTCTTTTCACCAAAATCGCTTTAAAACTCACAAAGTTCAACTCAACCCCAAAACTCATAAAACCCGAAACCATTATGACATCCAATATCCACCATCCAATTAGCATGGAATCAAGATATACAGTTCACTTCCTCCTTCTCTACCTCCCACGGTTGGGATTTGAATAAAGATGTTTTATGGTCGAGAAATAAAAGGAAATATGAAACCAAGGGGTTTTCATGAAAAATGAAGAAAATTTTGGGTTATTTCATAATTTTTAATAAAAAATATTCAGTCATAAAGCCGTCAAATATTTAATGGTGGAGTGACTAAAATAAAACAAATCAAAAGTTCAGTGAGTAAATTGAAATTTTTTAAACTTTAGTGACCAAAATACGAGTGAGAATAAAGTTGAATGAGGAAACTTGTAATTTAACCTATTCTTTTAAAGTAACATTAATTTTATTTTGATTATTTTTATATAAAAGTTGTAAAGAAAAAAATCTAAAAATGTTGGAGGTGTCAACTGATATTTCTTTATTTAACGTGATGCCACTGTCCATCAGTGGACAGAATGCATGCATATATCTTTACAGGCTTCGTTTGGAAGCAGCATCCAAATGTTCAAATATGTTTCGAATATATCTGCGTGCGTCTGTATACACTTTATTGGCTTTATACCCTAAAGTCCATGTCTCATGACATGACAGTTGGATGTTTAAGGCAAAGTTAAACGCGATGCTGCAAATTCAGTTGGTTGTAATAAACAGATGCACGCATTCCCAACTGTGAGAAGAGGAAGGAACACCGAGAACGTGAAGAGCTATCTTTCTAGGGTTTAAATAATAACTGTTTATAAAAGGTGTACGTAAATGGAATGTTTCAAATTTTCATGTGAATATGTGTTTTGCCTCTTTCATTGGCTAAGAGGTTTTGTATTTGAGTTATAGTGTTAATCTCTCTCTTAGAAATCACTGTTTCATATATAAACTATATAATTAATTTACTAAAATAATATTAGAGTAGAATTAATATAAGTAAAACTTTTTATAAAAAATATTCATTTATAATTTGACACTTTTAATATTAAATTAGGATTTGAGTTTGGGTCGATCTCGGATTTAAATTTTCCGAGTTTAGCCTTTTCAAGTTGATTTTTTTTTTAATAATTAAAGGTTTTTTGGGTTTGCGTTCATTTTTACACCTCTATATAGATACAACTAACCCATATATTGCATGGGTATGCAAACTAGTTAATTACTATATATTAATGAATAACTTTAAAAAATTCAAGTAGCTTAACCATAGTTGAATTAGTGGTTAATGTAAGGTGGAAAAATTATTTAAAATAGTATATATATATATATATATATATATATATTAAGAGTAGTTGGCAATTGGGTTTTATGTCACACTCCACAAGAGTTTTGCCGAATTTATGTACAAAAATCTTTCAATTTTTTTAGTTTTACGTCTTTTTAGGATCGTTAGATGAAGAGAAATAAAAAATTGAGATTAATTCATTTTTTTAGTGAGTATATTTTCTTTTCATACCGTAAATCAACTTTTGATTTCTTAAAATCCAACAATCTTAAAAAGGTGTAAAACTAAAAATTTTTATACTATGTAGTGAATCCTAACCCATATATGTGTGTGATAACGAGGCCAAAAGGGTGATTAATATTAACAAATGATAAGACAATATTTTCGAACATGAATGGGTTAATTTAAGTTTTATTTAGGTCATTAACAATATTTCGATACATTAATCCAAGTAGTTAAATGAATACTAATTTAATTGGCATCATTATTACCTAAGATCCCTGAGAATTACATGTTCGAGTGAACTTTAAAAATGTACTAAAAAAAGCCATTACACCATCAAAACCCAAAGGGAAATTAGCAAAACCGACCCTTGTCTTCCTTTTTTTTGTTGACCGGGTCCTTTGATTGTTGCCACTCAAGGACCACCACAAAGCAAAGGTATATGCAATTCGAAAAGTAGTTATAATTAGTAATTTTCTTTTACAATTACACCACCACAAATACCATGTACAACTCAAAACCCTTCACGCTTAAATGACAAATAATCACATCAATAATAAAATATCCTAAGGATTGTCTTGGAAATGACCAATCAACAAGAAAGTTTTCGTTGAGTCATTCATGACGATTTGTCCTGACGAGAATAATCGTTTCTTTTCAAAATTTTAAATTTTCATATAATTTAGATAATTCTTTTATATGATTTGTTTTCATCTCCTATGATTTTATAAATTCATCCCAACGTTATATATTGCGTCCATCCCTATGCAAAAGCATTAAACCCCTCCAAACGAAAACTGTATGCATTCTTTGTGGGGTTTGAGATCATCGTTGGTTTTATTTTCTTGTATTTTTGAAACAGGATTTGGACCACATCGGAGACGGAGAAGGGAGGGATAGGCCGTTTACTGTGATATGGACGCCATCTTTATTGGCTTAGAACACAAATTGACCCCTAAAGTAGGTAAGTTTGATCAAATTAGCCCCTAAATTTTGTAGTCAAATTAACCCATGAACTTGATGAGTTTGGTCAAATTGAGCCTTGAAAATTTTGTTTAGCAATTTGTTGAGTTTAGGGACAATTTGACTCTACCAAAAAGTTCAAGGGCCACTTTGATCAAACTTGCTAAGTTGACGGGTCGTCATTTTGTGGTTTAAGCCCTCTATCTTCAACCAATTACTGGCGTTTGTGTGTTAGGAAATCAATCTCGAGGGGATGGAAAACGATGTTTCGTTGACTTCTCTTTTGGGGCTCTCCTTTCAACTACTACTCTTCAACCCATTTGGTTCACCGTTCACACCCAAAGATTGAAAACCCTATATAGGCTAACACGAGTTTGAAGTAAAGGAAAAATAATGGAGGTAGAGGGGAAGTGAGTTGTATATCTTGATTTCACGTTAATCTAATGATGAATATTATAGATCAAAGTGATTTACAGTTTCAAAGTGATCGAGGTAAAATCTAAATTGATATAGTAGAGGAAGACAATGAGGTGAATTCGTTGATATCTTGAGGGGTCGGAGAAAACACCAGAAAAATGTAAACCTCCCACAATGTTAATTGGACATTACCGACTGCAAAAGGATTAATAAGAAGAGGACGACTAATCAGAAAGCACAACAAAAAAGAAAATACATCCTTGAGAGGCATTTGTGGGGTGATGTTGATGCTTCATCAGTGTTGAGAGGACCGAAGTTGCTTGAAACGAATGCTTTAGATATTCTTGCATGACAAGATATAGATTCGGTAGTTATGAGTTGCAAGATGCAATGAATAAAACCTAGATGATGGTTTATTAATTCTCATTCAATCAGATTAGATAGATGCCACATGACATGTGACGCATTTACAAAATTTACAAAATTTTATTTTAAAGCAATAACATTAGGAATTAGACAACATGGCCAACAACTATGATTACAATCACAGATGCCAAAAAGGAATATTAAAGCTGTTGTCATTTTCTTTCTCAGTTCTCACTTAAGAACATATTCTCTTTGATTCAATTAACTATAAAGATATCAGTGACATCTGCATTGATTTTCAGTCGGATCATTTCGTGAAGACAATCGATTTTTTCATTCTGATGAAAGATCGAATCGGATTATCAACAAGTGTTAAATGTAATGGCAAGGCACATTGCTCTCTCAACTATAAAACTCCATTCGAAATAGTTCGTGCACGCAGCACGTACTTGCAAATGCATTTTTTTTTATTTTATTTTGTTCTTTTCTTTTTCCCACTTTCATGAGTGAATGATGGGAGCTCGAAATAGTTCAAAGTGCAGCAAAAAAAAGGGTGGTCCGAACGAACCAGTCACATAGTGCCACATCAGGATAGATTACGGCCGTCGATGTGAGGAGGGATGGTGGAGATGCCTTGTTTAGAGAGCTCAGCTAGCACACTATCAGTGGAAGGAGGCTTGAGGCCTAAAGGCAAAGGTAGCCATGGCTTGTTTATTGCTTCCTTCACAACCTTGTCAACTACCTCCTCTGCCTGCCAATGCATTCAAACATACACATTCATCACAGTGAAAATAAAAGTGCAACATCAGATAGTAGTAGACTGGTAGCTCATTCATCCTACAAAACGACACTCTGCAGCATTCTTTCGGTAACTATTCTTATGGGGCATGTAGGTTTAAACAAACATGTGTAATGGAACTGGCCGGAACTAAAAAGCTTAACGAAAGATGGATTACCGGCTGATGTTCAACAGTATTCTGAGGCATGCCACTTCTGTTATCCACGGTGCCAGAACAATGAAATACAGATGCATTCTGAAGATTCACAGCAACCGGAATACCAGAAAAATATTAAAATTCTTTCATACTTGATTTATATATATATATATATAAAGGATCATTCTATGTATGTTGATAACTACTCACTTGAGTGAATGTAGAACAATATCCAAGAGGTGGGGGAAAAACAGGGCAACCCCATGCATCAGCATGCACCTGAATAATAAAAAAGAAAATAAGATCATATATCTACTTAGCTGCATTTCGTATCTTTGTCTATGCAATGTAACATGCTGGTCAACGGAGTCAGCCAAGTAGTTAAAAAATATGAAATTGTAGACAATAATAAACTCACCAATGGATATGGCTTCCAATGCCAATTTTCAGTTGGTTGCCACGGGGGATAACCTTGTGAGCCCCACATCTGGATGCTGGATGGATGAGGAGGTGGTCCCCACATGGGATAGGGTGGACCAACCGGGACAACATGATTCGAGTAATGTGGTGGAAAGGCCATGATCGGTTTATGTGGATAACAACTCCTTCGCATTTGATCTCTCTGCGGCCGCCTTCGATCATCCTCCTTGGGAAAAATGTGTCTTCTATTCATTCTATATTTCTGCTTCACAAACAACAGGCGAATCATTTTCAGCAAGAGTAAAAAGTTTATTCAGCGGTGTTCAGGCTGAAGAAGAAAAGGGCAAAATCTGATCACTAGGCTTGGCTAGATTAACAAAGGAAACCATTCTTTTGAAGCAAAACTGTAACCAGAAATGAATTTTCAACAGGAACAAGCAGCGCATTACACATTGAATGAAAGGCAAAACTGAGACCGACCTGGAGATGACTAGCAACATTATGCCGTGTCAAGCCTTCTACTTTCATTAGCTCTAGTACTCGAGAAGGGATGGCCTGATCTATACCCAGTTGGTCCACTGCCTGTACAAATTTCTTGTGGAGTTCTGGACTCCAGTCGACCTGAGAGATCAGACCCACTATAAGTACTTAATTTCTACATCATATATAGTTGTATAAAAAATTACTTGATCATAAATGTTCAAATTTCGAAATCAATCGATAAAACTATAAAAGTTTGATGGGAACTCTTTTTCAAGTCTATGTACGCTGGAAAAGTTAGGATATTACACATTAACAGAAATATTGCAAACATTACAGCCCAACAGATGATTATAAGCTATAACCCATACCACCTACTTTCAACATTTTCCTTGATTACAATCAAGAGTTAGCCCAAGACTGATCTTAGGGCTTATAACAAAGAAAACAAGAAAAAGTCAACTTAAGTTAATGATATACTTCCTCTAAAACTTTTTGGCGTAATCTGAAGAAGTTGACAATGAAGGCAAATAATGACATGAACGAACTGGAAATAATTTCTGAGGATGGCTGGTGAATGGCTTTCTAAATGTCAAAAGTTTTAAAATTTCAAAAAACTAATCACCCAAGACTACAGTTTTGAACAGAAACATGATGGAAACGTGTGATCATGTGACGGTAGATTAGTGATTAGAAAATGCTCTCAATAAGATATGTTTCCTAAGCAGGTATCTTACAAAAGATAGTGGCAGGACTACCGGACAAGTTCAAGATATGTGGTTAAGTTATCTTAAAAACTTGTGAAACTTTGCCGATATAAGAAGAGGAATGAATTATATATACATACATACCATAAGCTATATTACCTTCATTTTTTTCCTATTAGCTTTGTTCGGACAAGAACTATGAATACCAGAAACTGTGTTGGGGATTTCAGCAACAGCATCAGAATCTTTGTTATTTACTCCGTTTTGTGTTTGAGAGTATATGGTACTCTCACCCTTGGTACCATCAACTAAGTCAGCCTCCTCTCTTACTGTTGTTTCTCTTGGTCCCTGAGGTTGGCCAACTGGTGCAGTTACTTCAGCAATTGTATTGTCACTGGTAGTTTCGACAGATTTGGATTCTCCACCCTGCTCGTAGCTCTCTTTTTCGGTCGAGCAGTGAGTATTATCTTGGCAATCTCCATCGGCTAACAAACTTCCTCTCTGCTCTAGTTGTGGTTTTGAAGGAGCTGAGTACTTATCACTTGCTGTTGACGGTTCAGGGTCATTTTCATGAATGACAGATGCATATTCGGTTTTAACCGAGTCCTCATTCTTAGCTTCTCCACTTTTCAATTGTAAATGCAGCATTGAAACCAAGGATTTTTTAACAGGCTTTAGTGATTCAGAAATGTCTTTGCCTGCAGCATTGAATGCCTGAAAAGGACTAATAAAATGAGAATTTCTATAACAAAGTAACTTAGTTTCCATTTGCATGTAGATTCCAATGTAACTCAAGCGGTATCCAGATCAACCTTATGAACCACATGTTGCCATAGATTCCGTAGTTTCTCCTCAGACAGCGGTTTCCTAAGAAACTCAACTGCACCTAGCTGAAAATAAGATGGCAAAGCATTAGATATTATGGTGTGTGGAAAAGAACATAGGCACCACTATATGGCTTCATTCAGGATGACTAGTACAATGAAACTTAAAAGTTCGTTAAAGCACTGAATATCATCGGAAAAGTCCAAAGTTTCTCTATGGACGGCGGGTAAGAAGAAGAAAAGATTAAGACCATTAAGAATCTAAAATCTTTTGAATTGACAACACAATGCGCAGCAGAAGACACATGAAAACTGCTCAGTGTATTGTATGCTGGAATAAATCTTACCGCTATGCACTTCATCATGGTGCTGATGCAATGAATGTTTGAAGTCACTGAAATTAAGATTTACAACAGCATTAGGAAATAGACAATATGTCCAACAACCATGATTACTACCACAGATGCCAATAAAAATTCATCTGTGGGGCGATAAAACAGTGTTTCACATGGATATAATTTGAAGATCTACAGCCAAACCAGGCAGGTGTAGTTTTCGAACTTACTAATGGTGGGCAAATCCTTCACGGTTTCAAGGAATTTGAAACCCCCATTGTTATTGTTTGTACTAACCTGCATCAACAAGCTGTTAGTATAAAGTTGCATTTGAAAGAAAGTAGCAAAGGATTACTTCGTATGACAAAGCCAAAGTAGCTTATAGTATAAAATTTCTAGTGAGCAACTAGTACAAGTGTTGATACAAAGATCATGCTAAGGAAGGTCTAACATCATGTTTAATTATCCATTCATTACCTCTACAATGGCTACATGGAAACTTTCAGGTTTACTTGAAACCGCCGAAATCGCTTCATTTTCGTTGCAGAAGGTATGAACTGCAAAAGGCACAATAACTTTTATCATACATTTAGAGAGACATAGGTAAGTAGAAAAATATATAGAAACTCCATGAGAATACCATAAAGATAAAGTATAACCGTTAACATTTAACAGGAGATCTTTAAAGGGAGAGAAACTGAACTGAAATAAGCATCCAGAACAGCTAAAGTCTGAAATTTGGTATACTACTAAAAGAAAATTTTCTATATACAAACCTTCATTCCCACCCCATAAAAAGGGGAAAAGATTTATACCTTTTTTCCCATCAAATTGAGTAATTAAAACATCCATAGCTACAAAACAAATTACCTTTTGTTACTTTAAATGTTCACGTGGAGAGGGAAATCTATTAATAGAAGAATCAAGCTAATGCAACAAATCGATTCTTTTTGTAGACCTCATGACCACAAAATTTCCAAGATCTATTTACTGCTTCAATCTAAATGCAAACTTCCATAAAAAAAAAAACAAAAACTACTAATCCAAAGCAATGGGGATATAGCAGGTAGCAAATATGCTTTGATAACAGAAAGAAACTAAAGACTACTAATTTAGGGGAAAAAAGGGGTGGATTCTAACCAATATAGTCCATTGCTTCAAGCTTTGATTTTAACTCAGCAGCAGATTTGGCGTCTTCATCAAGAAGGAGGACCTTGAGACCCTTTGGAAAATCCTTCCATGTTGACAAATCATCTGCAGTGTAAACCATAGCTGGTTTCGCATCCTTTCTTAGGCAGCCGAGAAGTACTGCAATTTACTGCTTATCGAAATCTCTGCAATCACCACGAGAATTTTCCCATGAAGAAAAGTTTTATCTCGATCTAAATAACCCCATTGCAAATGCAAAAGGTTTTCAACCGATCTCTGAAGATTGGCTACAAAAAAAAGGTGTAATGAACAGAAATACCGTAATTAAATTCTAATGCATGATGAGATCACTATGCATGCAATGTCTGATAGATCTTAATCAGAGAAAGATCTTATATTTTGGGCAACTACTAGACTAGTCTTGGACGACAAGAAGCAGACAAAACAACCCATTTAAGATGTCCATAAAACTCATCAGGACATAGCTTAACAACTACCAACAAAATTGAATAAAAAAAACATGGGAATCATTTGAAAATGAGACCATTTCATGCATGGTAAGAAGAAACATCAAATATGCCAAAATTTTTGCAAGAAGAAAAAGAAAGGAAGACCCACTTCTCTTGGTGTCTGAAAAGGAAGTTGCATGCAATAAAAGAAGAATACAACCGAAAGATAAGGCTGGGGAACCCCAGGAAGAAGCTGTGGGTTAAACAAGATTTAGGGAAGATAGATTTTTTATTTTCCCCCTCTCAAGTCCTTGTTGTTTCAACTACTAAAAGCTCTCCCATTTTGGCTGCATACAGAAAGATTTAAGGCTGAAAATAATGGGAAGAACAATGTAGACGTAAAACTGCGGCTTTTGAGAGGAAGAGGTGGTTGGTCTTTGTGTAGTGTAACGTCGCTGTTAATCCCTTGTAGACCACATAATATGAGGAAACGAAAATGAAAAATAAAATCATAAAAGCTTTATTTACAACTTTTTATCCCAAAAGATAAAAGGTTGATGATTCTTTTATCCATTGACGTGACTTTGGAGTAAGTATTATTATTAAAGTTTTGAGCTAAATCAAAGGAAATGGGAGGATCTTAAAACTGCTTTATCTTCCTAGTAGGTGAATAAATTGGACGTACTAAATGTACTTAAATAGAAGATACCCATACTTAAATTCCCTAGACATGTCTTTTCAAACTTTAATATAATTAATACTATATATATATCAAGTTATTAAATTGTTTGGATATTAAAAGCATATTAACTGAAAGTAAAATTTTAAATTGTAGAGATTACAATAAAATAATTAAAATTAAAATATAACATTACAAAAACTACATTTCAGAGAAAATAACATGTATGTTATCTAATGTAAATATAAAAAAAAGATGGAAAGGGAGTTAGTGGGACGATAATCCTTTAAAAATTTTAAATTATCATAAATTTTAGAGTTAATTATATTATATATCCACTAACTATAAACTTCATTTTAAATTAGTTCGTAAACTTTTTGAATGTTCCAATTTCAATTTTAAATCGATCCCCAAACTTTTGCATATTCTAATTTTATCCCCAAACTCATCCAAATATGTAATTAGTTTCAATCGTAGTTTAACCTAAATTTTGTTTTTTTCAAACATATAATAATATAACTTGACCTAACGGTTTTATTAACAAGGGATGTGATTAGTATATAAATATGGTTTGGGATGAAATTTGAAATGACCAATTTAGAATGAAAGTCATGGTATGGGGATGAAATTGAAATGTTCAAAAGTTTAAGGACTAATTTAGAATTATAGTCATAGTTTAAGAATGAAATTGAAATATTTAAAAGTTTAAGGATCAATTTAAAATAAAAGTTATATTTTTGAGGATATATGATGCAAGTAATTCTAAATCTTAGATATTTTATATATAATTTTTGTTGATAACATATCTTCACTCCTACAATTTTAGAAACTCACCGTCTTTCTAAAATTTTAAAAGTTAATTGTTTCTAATATAAGATTTATGTTCATTACTCCGTAAACACATATGAACATAAATATGCAAGTGTAATTTAAGGTTTAATCAAATTCTTTCATTTGTAACTGAAAGAATACTTGCGAAATGCATCCACGATGCGAGTTATGGGATCAACACCCATTATCAATTGTCTGTAGGTGTCGTTTCCAGGCAGGAAAGGTCGGCAAAGATCAAAAAGCACGCGTAGGAGCGACGGCGTCAGTGGGAAACACCAGATATATTATTGCCTACTTAATTGTTCACCACAAAATAGGTAAATTTCTTGTGTTGCTGTAGGTCATCAGACACTGTTGAAGCCGGTATAGGTAGGCAAAAGCCCACAGATTTAGAGGAAGACGACGACGGTTATGTCTGGTTTTAATCAACACCAGACATTTGTTCCAAATGTTGAAGCGGAGATTCATATCGTTGCATGATTTCTCTTTTGACGCTACTGTTACTGCCGAACAACTTTCTGTTCATGAAAGGACACAGCAAAGAGTTACATATGTCAACAGGCTGCCTCTATCCTTCACTTCTGTCTTACTCCAATCGGTAAAAATAATAATTCTCAAAATAATATTATTTGCAGTTTATTTTTGGAATTGATATACTTTATGTCATCTTAGATTGGGTGTTTTTATCTAAATATTATCATTAAACTTAATAATTATCTGTCAGACATTCTTTCTTCAAATATTATTGACTTGACTCTTTTTCTGACATGGTGACAATAAAGTGTGGATCGCTATTCGTGCCTTTGCAGGGTTCTATCCAAACTTACATCACGTAAGGGGAAGGCCTTCGCGGGGTTCTAACACGTACAAAAGGCGTAGATTATGATTCGTGCCTTTCGTTATGTACGTTGAATTATTGGTATTTCATTATTACATGAGTCTGAAAACTTGGCTTTTAAACGCTCTCCCTCGCTTATAAATAATAATCCCTCTGAATGCAAACATCACCACACCAAAAATACTTTCTTATTATCACTTCTATCAATTCATTTTATCAAACTAAATAGATTTTGTTATTATTTTTATAAGGTAAAATTATTTTATTATATTATATTTATTTTATATTTAATTATTTGAACAAATTTTATTATACTAATTATTTATATATTTTTTTGCAGTTGTAAAATTAAAAACATGATCATACCTCAAGATATTTTGTCGATATGTAATAAATATGAAATTGTGTTATTTAAATTATTGTGATTTTTTAAAAAAAAATTGGATTCGTTTATATTTAAATTCATATAGTATTTATTTAATTAGGCGTATTTTAGCTATTTTTTGCAGATACAAGACTCTCAATCTTTTAAACTCTCAAAATGACGCGTATTTCATCTATTGTTTACTATGATGGAGAAATTCGGGAAGATAAAATCGGTCGTGTCTTCGCATCAAATCATTATGTCAGAATATCCTTCAAGAGAAACATCACTCTTGAGGAGTTGATCACTAAAATTTCAATGAAGGTTCATGTTAGAGGTATTAGAAGATTGTCCTAATTTCAGTACAGATTTCCAACAGTAATATTTCTGTTAATTTATACAACGTTCGAACTCTCCAACGATGACTATCTTGTTATGATGATTGATTCTCAGAATCAATATTCAGATGTCGATACACAGATGTATGTGACATTTGTTGAAGTGCCTATGATTCGTGATATGTCTTTATGCTCCCACTATGGGTTATCTCAACAAATTAATCAAGTTGACAGCCCAACTCAAGTAATATGTAATGATTTTAACTCGTTAATGAGAAATTCACATCATGGTGTCATCCCATCAAGTTCAATGGAGAGACATTCATCAGCAACTTGTTACGATCTGTACCGAGGTGGCTCCACAAATAATCTGTATAGCAACATTGCTTCCAGTTCAAAGGGAATGCATTCATCTGTCAATTTCTTTGACCTGAATATAAAGATGCTCTCGACGCATCAATCTGTGCAGTACTAATTTGACATGATGCCTTCAAGTTTCAAATGGAGACATTCAATTGCGAGCTTCTTCAACCTCAATGTCGAGATGCCTTCAAGTTCAAGGAGAAGATATTTCTAACTTAACGTTACGAATAAATTGATCTAATATTCGACATCTCTCCTAATTTAATAAATAGTATACAAATTAAAATATAAACTAATACTAAAAAATTAAATAAATAAAACATTCACAATAATTAAAATAACAACACAATTTAAAATTATTACCTTATCAGTAAAATACCGCGAGAAATGATTCTCATCTAAATGTAGCAACACACCTTCCATTTTATAACTGCAAAAAGTAATAAAAATTAATACAATAAAATTTAATAAAATAATAAATTATTAAATAATTATAATATAATAGAAAATATTTTACATTTTTAATATAAAGATTGATAGTATGAAGAATGAGAGAATTTGATATTTGAGTGTGGTTTGAGGGTTGTGTTGAGTGTGGTATTTATAAGAAGAAGGGGGAGACGAGTGGTAATCAATGTGGGAAACAGACAGTTGTGGAATTAAAGGAAAGTGATTCGTACCTTCCGTACGTGTTAGAACCTCGCAAAGGCGTGGATGACGATCTGCGCCTTCCCCTTACGTGGTGTCAGCTCGGACAAAATCTAGCGAAGGTGCGGATGGTGATCCGCGCTTTATTGCCATCATATCAGAAATTGTGCTAGATCAATAATATTCAATGAGAGAATGCTTGACAGGTAATTATTGAGTTTAAGAGTGACATTTCAGTAAAAACACCAGATTAAGGTGTATATCTTGCTAGTTATATTTTGAGATACGTTCCTTGGGCTTGCAGATCATGTCTTTGTCCATATAACGTTATCATTGTGAGAAGGTTGGAATAAAATGGAAGAATGAATAAAATCGTCAAAAGTTAAAATTAAAAAAAAAAACTCTAAAAATAAGAAATATGCACAATATGTATATTGACACGAGTTTATATTGACAATACTAACACATATGTATAAACATTGTCTTATATTACTAAACGAATATATATTTAAAAAATTATATTTAAACATTTGAAAATATCAGTGTATGATTTGAAGATCTAATGACTAAAATTGTTAATTTTGAGCTATCATAGACAAAATCTGGACTTAATCAAACTTATGCCATGAGCTCTATCTCATGTTACCTTCTAAAATGCTTGAGTTCTATATAATGTTTTTACATTTATTGCTCAATTTGTTCTCTTTCTTTTGTTTTGTTCTAATTTTTGTAAGATGTGACTTTATTTTATCTGTGTATGTCTAATGCGATAAACTTTTATCTTACATAGATATAAAAGATGTCAATCTGAAAATTAAATTGAAACAAAGTATTCTGAGTATTAATTTTTTTAAAGATGATATTTGGATAAGAATCCCCTATTTGGTAGCTAAACTTTCTTGTAAGAAACTTTTACCCATCAATCATTCACTTGCCATGAAACCTTGGGGCTGCAACGTGTGCTATCGCTGGTCAAAATCAGAGTGCCGATTCCCAGTAAAATCACGTGATGCTTTGCATTGATCATGAATCGATGAAACAGACCTCTTTGGATGAGTTGGCTTTTCCCTTTTTTTCTTCTTTTTTGCTGCAGGACATGAAGAGGCATACCATTAACCATTTGAGCAACAGCAGCACAGTAAAACTTGACCACCACATTCACCAACTCGCACTGATGAAAGATGGGTTATCCATTTTTATGCTTGCCGACTGGTTGGTATAGTTGTCGGCAACCGAGAACCGAACTCGCAGGAGCCGCAGACCATAGACCATATTAGGTTATCGTCACTTAATCAGTGTTCAGGCGAAGGTAAGCGGGAAAACTTTTCATATTTTGCTTTGCCTAGCACTATATTGGATGTCTCTTTTAATGGCATCAAAAACACTTTTTATCAGTAGACTTCTGTAAAATGCTTGCGGTCCTGCAGTGACTAAAAGCAGAATCCGAGGTCAGCCAATTGGTACATACAATTATTCTTAAAATATAGCATTCAACAAGTATCGAATTCGAAAGAGATTCCAATGAAAGCGTGTTCAGATATGTAAAATGGTTATCATAAATAGCATCTTTATTGTCATTCATCATTATGCATTCCAGTATCTCGACATAATTATTTGGGCAGCTACACTAGTCTAATGAATAACACAATGTAGCAACTTGGGTCTCCTTTTGAGGATTGTTGATTGGAACCCTTCAGTCCCTTGGTATGAAGCAACTTTATCATCAGCTGAAGTCTTAATCTCCGCTTGAGTGTTTTTATCCCCAAATAAACAACCTGTTCATGTGGTTAATTCGTCGTCGGAGGTACTGTTTCCTTTGCTACCGACCCAATACCGTTTAACTGCGACTAGTATCTTCTCCGGCACAAGGGGACCATCCTCGTGATCATTCATCTTGGTGTCCCATCTCATGCCTCCAGCAATTTTCCTCACCTTGTTTAGGACATCGACATCATCCCGGAAGATAATAGACCCTTCAGGCCGTAAAATGCGATCCATTTCCAGAAGGATGTCATCAAAGTTACACCTGTATAATCATTTCCAGAAGAATGTATTTAGTGCATAAAAAGACTTCCCATTCCACATAGTGCCCCTGAAGTATAACTCTCCACTTCAAAATGATGTAACATGGTTACACTGGACGTCTATTGAATTATATGTCGAACGATATTTGACTACTTTGATTCCTAATAAAACATGGCACACTAGAAAAAGATGGATAAGAGACTTACTTGTTTTGGTACAAGCTAAAGACACCATTAGCATGGATAAGGTCGTACGTTCTCGGGTATGTAGAGAAACCTTCACACCTGCAACAAGAAATGAAAATGTCGCAGAGTCGGTCTGAAGTTCCAATGTCCTCAATCACTGTGATAAAGGCCTTTTTCATGGAACTGGTTGTTAATGAATGTATGAAGACTTTCTAAGAGAAGCCTCTACTTTCCACTGGTTTGCATACCACACAACAAATAAAATCGTCCTAGTAAACCTCCTTGTGATAAATAATGGCGTTGCATTTAGGATGACAAAAAAGAAGGAAATCCAATAATTACATACCACAAAGAAGATCGATTGAGACGTACCAGTCATGATATATTCCAATGAGACCTCTCTCATAGACAACACCTAAGGTATCCTTGGCAATTGTGGGCACCACATTCATCACCCAAGATTTTGGCGATTCCAAAGCTGCTGCAAATCCTCCGAGACCAGCATTCATATCCATCACGTTTCTGTATCTTGTAGTACCAATCAATCTATTTATCCTTTCGTAAGCATTTACATGTTTCTTCCAAAGCTTATTGTCCTCTTCGTAAGATTCAGCTGAGACCCCCTCGATATGTCCTTTGGATATCCGAGGAGGGACGGCAAAAAGCCTAGCTGGGAATTTCTTCAATTCCCCTCCAGCCACTTCACTCACACTACTGACCTTAGGGAAAGGGGTTACACATGTTTCCATTTTCTTGTACCTAAAACATGTCAAAAAAGAAATAATTTAAGTGGAAATACAAAAATAAAATCAGAATGACTTGAGAAAAAAACGAGTCGGGAGTGGAAATGATACTCTAAAGCAATGATGAAACAACAAAGTTCTTATCGACTAGCTAATCAATATTGATTAGAAAATGCATATGAAAATAAATGGAACTATTGGACAAGTTAACTCACCAAACATCATTGGCGGCCCTTGGTTTACACATATTGGCAGAATTCCTGCGGCAGGATTTGTCATTAACTTTTTTTCTCCAAATAGCAATATCTCCCTTCTCATATTTTTTCTCCCAGCAAAGACGTTCAGCTAACTCTTCGATCTTTCGTTGCTCACCCTTAAGATCTTCCTTAGATCGCTTCCAAACTTGGTAGTAGGTCTTCCAATTAATTGGAGGGCCAGACAAGACCCAGTATCCACCAGGCCTTAGGACTCTATCAACTTCCATCAAGTACATCCCATCTGAATAAACCAGAACACAAGTAGAAAGGTTATCAAATTCCTGGTATTGTTAAAGTTCTTTTATCATTTAATTCCGATCTCTATCCATTCTTGAATAATTAATGATGTTACAGGTGAAAGAGAACATAAGTATTGCACAATTTAACAGCTAGCATATTCATTACTACGACTTACCATTTGCAGTCCAAGGTATTAGGCATCGAGAACACTGAGCCATATCAAATGCTCTTGATGGATATGGAAGATTTATAGATCCAAGAACACCAATAACAGCAGGCACACCTCGCTCCAATGCAAACTGTACCTGTGCTTCATGATTGTCTCGAGGTGCAAAAGACATAGCCAGAACATTTCGCTTCAACATGTATGCACCCCAACTTGCAACCTACGATAAGATTTGTTATATTTGTGCATGTAGTTTATACCGAGTAAAAATGCCAAAGTAGATTCTCTGATGATGATTGTAAGCAAAAAGACATAAAAGAGTATTCTCTACAGGCAGGCTGTGTTCAATAAGACAGAGCTCCAATAGCATAAAGAGTATATGTGATGACTAAAATGCAACGAACGATGAAAGCAAAACTTATAAGAGAATGGAGATTCATCAGCAACAACTTATATGATCCGAATTCTCCTAAAGTCTATTATCCAACAATTCTATTCCTATGGGACATAACGTCTATGGGTAGGTCTTATCAAGTGAGAACAAAAGAGACTTTTCTCTTTTTCATATGCTGTGATGGCTTGAGGCACAGACGTGTGTTTTTCTCTATAAAACTAAAGAGGTAGGCCAACTGACTGAATATACCCTCACTATGGTATATCCAATTACTAAAGACCACGCTCATAAAAACTATTTTATGGGATTCAAATACTCAAAACAATTAATAAGGTCACAGTCTGGAGAAGTATAAAATCAATAGCGAATAAGTAAACTGCTTTGTAAATTACTAAACATCCTCCTACCATCAATCCTTCCCACCTCTACCCCTTCCCCCTACGGCGCTGAAGAAAGCACATGCATAATGGCATTATAAATTCTAAAAAAAACTGTATAACAGATTATTGAAAACAACATACTCCACAACCGGTATCTAGTGCTGTTCTGACAGAACCGTCTGCTATCGGGATGACTGAGACAAGCTCATCAATATACGCATCTGCACCTTGGGGGAACATAGTTCCTCCACCCGGAAATTTAAACACGTTCCCTTTGAACTGTACCCAGTTCTGGACAGCCTTCTCAACTGTCAGGCTTTTATGAGGAACATTAGCATAATGGACATAATCACGACTCTTTGGCCATTCAAATGGTGTCATATACCCTTTGGGTGCTGGGATGAGACAGTGTAGCTTTTCTTCTTGAGGAGGACAGTGTCTTTCCCGGTAAATCATGTTCTCCCTAGGAAACTTCATGGCTCGGTCTTGCTCTTGGCAAGGGGTGTAATCAGTGTATTTCACATCGCATGGGTTAAACACTTGAGCTTTTGGTTTGGAAGGCTCAACAATCTCCACATCATTGTGATGTGTTTCAAAGTTCAAATTTGTGAAGATGTTGCAATCTGTCTGCTTGGTCACCTCCAACGCTATGCTATCTCCTTTGCCGAAACCACTTCTCTGCCATGCTCCCATAATGTAAAAGAAACCGCACAAAGCAATCACAGCAAATATAGATAGTGGGCTCCGTTTTTTGTTGCCCGGCGGATTGCTCTTGGATACCATGACTAGACTAATTCCCTAAAGCACACTTTAAGAAAAAAGTTGGGAAATAATTATTTTCCACAGATAAACAAGGCGAATTTAGAGCTGCATATAAGATGTAAGCTAAACTAGTCCTAGAATTTCAATTGCACAAATGTTATTAATGACACGATACACTTGCTTCAACCAATAACTACCAAAAAATTAAAGCCAAATCTAATTATCTTAAAATCCTTTGAGTTTAGATCAATTCTAATCTCAAGAAGTGACATATATAACATAAGAAATATATCAGCGGTTTGGTATCTTCAGAATTGAATGGCGTCAATCTATGATATATATATATATATATATATATATACTCACACACACACACACATATATAAACCTATGTTTAAGATATGATTTTGAGCATTTAGAAACTTATAACAGAAAAAGCAGTGAAACCCAATCGAGTCAAGAACTTAGCAATACAACTAAAGTTTTACTATGTTTTTCCCCTTTTAAAGCTCTTAGACTAACCCACTGCACTTCCAACAAGCTAAAAGTTCATTTACACTTACTGATCTACAAGAAACAGCCAAGATTTACAACCTCAAAAGAAAAACCAGAAGAGCTCAGTATGAATATCCATAACATAGACCCTCATAAATTAACTAAACAGCAGGCATTTTTATCAAACTGATCTTAAAAAATTCACATTATCTTTCAGCTGAAAATACAGAAAAGAACAGAAGATAAGCTGAACAAGAGAGATCCATAAATTAAAAGAAACAACAGTTGATAGGTCCATGCAGATTAAACAATAAAAAAAAAAGCAAAGAACTTTGAATTAAAAAGAAGAAACTTGGATAAAAGGGAAAATACCCAGAAGAAAGGCAGAAAGGAAGAGCTCCAAAGCAGAGCCCTTTTGGTTGAACAACTGAGTCTAGATCTCTGTAGTACAAAATGAGTGCAGAGTACTATAGTGAGAGAGAGAGAGAGAGAGAGAGTAGAGCTTAATAATAAAAGACGTTGGCTTTACAGTGAAGGGAGTGTGTTTTGTTTTCCTACCAAAAAAAAAGATCAAATTAAGATATGAGTGATGATGAGTTACCTGTCGAGTTTACTTCAGATGAGTTACCTGCCGACACTAAATAGTTAAGATCGATTGTGTAGATCATGAGGTACCTTGGAATAAAATGCAGAGAATTTGTGATTGGGATTGAGATTTAGATTGAAACCTGATTGCCGACAAACATTTTCGTAAGATTTTCGTTCTACTTATTTATTAGACATGTCGGATTGGACTTCGTCACTGTGACCGAAAGCTGACGAGCATTAAACAAATGGAAACAGTCGGTGGGGGCTTAATCACATGGCCGCTTGAGTGTGACCACTACTCAAAGTAAGCTAATCACATTTTACTTCCATTCCAATATTTTGTACTATTTGCAGTATTAATGTATGAGATTCAATTAACTCAACTAATTTAAATTAACCCAACTTAAATTCCACTCATTTAACAAAAATAAATCAACTTAAATTTTAATTAAAAAAAACACGACTCTGTCTAATTGGATAGCAACTTCCGCCTATGTAAATGTTTACTTGTGGTGATTTCTGTTTTCTTAGCGTCGTAATAATGAGCGTCGTCATTGTATTCGATGATCTGTAACAACAAAGATAAAGTATAGAGGGAAATTCAACATGGAAATAAAATATAGAAGTGTAAAATAAGAAAAGATTTGAATACAAGATGATCACAGATACATAAAGCAGAGAACATGAAAAGAGAAATAGTAGATGATGGCATCAAGCTTTATTCGTCGAAGGAATCCAAATAGCATGACAGGATTCCAGTATTATAAAATGGAGTTTCGATTACTTCATGTGTCCATCCACGGCACTTGCGGTTTTCAACCAACCCTGCAAAAATGGAAACGCCGACGAATTACATGGGGTGAATCAAAATACGAAAACGATGGGATGAACGTAACGGATTACGTACTTGGAGCAATCGACATTGGGTGAAATGGTGACGGGCAATGTGATTCCACAGTTAGAAGGAAGAGCCTGAGCTAAATCGTTTTTGGGTTTCATGTTCTTAGCTGCAGATTTGATGCACTCACAAGCAGCCTTCTTGTCAGCCGACGACGACGCGGCGGATGCCAGAGCAGACGCCCCGGCACAACAAGTCGTCGGCGGTTTCCCGGTCCCGTTCACCAGGTAATTCACGCAAGGTCTCAAGTCCTTGATCACCACACTGCACGAAATGGCGGCATTCGAAGTCGAAGCGATCAACAGAAGAAGCATAACCGAGATTTCGATTCTCCAAGCCATCACTGTTCTTGCTTAAAACCTTTAGCTTTAATCGGCGACCGCTGCTTCTGTTCTGATTTGGCCATCATATTTATAGGAAGCTTCAAGTGCTAACTCATCGGTCAAAGAAACGAGTGCAAATATTTTAAGCTAATTGCTTCTTACACCCAAGTAAGTTTGGTATGATTGATGAATTCTTCTGAAATATAAACCAAAGAACCCTCACCATGTCGGTTCATGCAGCCGAATAAGAAACGAGCCCAGCATTGAGAAATTAAGTGAAATGTGAAGGTGAAAGTTCTACTAATCTAATGGGTTAATATAAGTTTTGGTATTTAATCAATTCATTGAATGTTCAATGATAAAAGAAAAAAAATTAAATATCACATTATATATTAATACTTAAATTATGCAAACAAAATCATATTAACCCTAATTTAATCAATGGAAGTTGTCATATATTTTAAGGTGAAGTGGTTGGTTGGTTAAGAATAAAGAATTAAAAGCTGGTGGAATTTGCAGAAGAGTCAAATACAGGAAGATTACTTCCTTTACAAGAGTACCATATTGAAAACCTATTGCTTATGCGTTCCCATGATTGAACATCTCAACCAAACTTTATATTTGTACATATAACACTAAAACCAGTACCATAGAAGTTTATATCAAGCGAAAATCATAGACACAATATTAAAATTATGTTTTAAAATGATATTTAATTCATTTAAAATATAACATATTATTTTTAACATGTCGCGACATTATTTTTAAATGGTACATGAATAATAATATTAAAAATGTTAGATACCTAAATTGATCAAAAATATTTTAGGTACCAAAATGAAAAAATAAATATAATTTGTACACTTGTTTTTATATTAAACCTTTTTAAATTGATTTGTTTTTTTAATAAATTGGATATAAAATCTAGTTAAATTGAATGTGTCGGTTCGAATTAAACTATAGTAGGTTAGAGGACGTAGCCAATTTTGATTTTTTACTCAAACAATTTTCAGAAAACAGTCGAATTAGTTCTTGGAAGATGAGGAAACCATGTTTCGGTCCTTTCGGAGGTAAAACAAGGGTAAACTATACGTTTAATATCTAAACTATCACTTTTGTTCTATTTTGGTCACTCAACTGTTTTGTTTTCAAAATTATACCTACCATTACGTTTTGGTTACATTTTGGTCACCACTGTTAAATTAACAGAATTACTAACATGTCATTTTTTATTCTTTTCAATGATGACATGGCATTACCATATGGCGACATATCAATGCCATCGTTAATTTTTTAACAAAAGGTTACCAAAATGAAACCAAAACTAAACGTTATGTATAATTTAAAAAAATGGTTGTATGACCAAAACAAAACAAAAGTAATAGTTGGGATTCTAAATATGTAGTTTACCCGGAAAAAAAAAAAAAGCAATCGTTTCTTCTACGATCGTATGCGAGTCATCCGGTTTACTATAGAGACGCTATTAACGTTAAGAAAGCTATTTACTTCACACTTCTACAAAAGCATTACAACAATGACACTGTTTAGGAGAACAATAAAAGCATAGACCAATGTTCTAGAAAAAAAAAATAGGTTTTAGCTGGTTGGAACAAAAGCTGCACAAGAAAATGCAACAAAAGTTGAATTAAACTTACACCTTCTCCGGTCTCCCTCGTTCTTTGGCGGTGATGCAAACGCTCTTATCAGGGGGTCGGGTGGTTTGATCTGGCCCATGAGACTGAATCAATCTCATCTCTTGCAGATTTGTATAACTCAAGCCTCTTGACACATTGTTGCCTCCTTTCCATCAATGCAGGGTCTTCATCCAATAACTTTGCCAGTTGCTTGCCCTACAAGAAAAGAATGGATACAAGTCAGCAAAGAACCCTCGGTATACGTTGCAACAGCTCGAATGGAATCCGTTCACAATAAAATTACCGAGTGAGTGTCATGTGGATGTGTCAAAATGAATGTATGTGTGCAAGTAGGGGAAAATGCACGAGTAAAGATATTTGGTACCTCCGTTTTACCCAGCTGTATATAGAAGTGATCAAGCAATGACTGCTTGGCCTCCCTTACTTGGCAATAAACCACGGCCTTAGGAATGGTATTTCTAAGCGTATCAGACACCATCCCCACATAAGAGTAAACAACTGATCCTATTCTGCGGAAGTGACTTTCAGCATATCTATCTGCAGATGAGGAAGTCGGGTTTCCACCTTTCTCCACTTCTTGGGGGAGTCTCCGAAAGAAATCCACTGTCAAGTATGATGACTCCATGTCCACCATTCGCAAAGTTGTTTTTTACTCTCTTCACGAAGCCTCTCCAATGCTTCATTTGCAGCTGCTGCAATTTCAGCTTGGAGAGTTGGAAAGCGCTTCAGCTCCTGTTGAATTCCAAAACATGAAATTTCGTTCTTCCATTATCCCTAAAGTAATCACTGTTTCATCCAAGAAGGTAGTGAAGTTTCAAACTCCTAACCTGAGTTTCTGCAATGGACCTTCTTACAAGCTCTTTTAAAAGAAAGTGAACCTGCAAAAAGGAACCAGTCACTGCAGATGAACTACTTTTAAAGAATGAAAATACAATAGATATTTAGTTTTTATTTTAAATCCAGCAAACAGCATACCATGAATATTGAACCCTCGGTAATTGAACCCTCTCCATTCTACTTACCTCCAAGAAATAGTCAAAAGGCCCTATGCCAAATATAACAGAGAACTAACCAAGATAACAAGAAAATGCCGACGAGAGAAGGGAACTTACAGCATCAACAGAAGCCTCTGCTGGGCCTCTGAAATAACTAAGTGCACCATCAATGAGACGTCGGTAACCTTGCTCAGGAGCAAGTAAATGAGGTTGATACCCATCTGCCTCTGAGACTACTTTCCTAATGTTTTGCAGTGACAAATGACGGTCAAATGGAAGCTTCCTTAAAGCAGCAGGCAGCTGGTTGTCAAAAACTCCATAGATGCGGTCTCCACCTGGTCGCCTAGAGAAAGATTGAAACAAGATGATAAAGAATTATGATTGTATCATATTATATATTTAATTTGTACTGCAAATTCTGCACAAAATGGAAGTGAAAAGAAACGAGCTAAAAATAGTACCCTCCATCCAAGTGCTCCTTGAATATGTGATCAAATGTTCGACATAACTCTAGGATGGTGTATAACTGAGTCTGATATATAAAAGCAATAAAATATAAATTGATTAATGAAACCTATGAATACCCCAATATCAAAAAAATAAGCCAGAAGTTCAGAGGCTCACTACCCCAGCATCAACAGCAACAGATCTACCGAGGTGGGACAATTCTGCTTCAAGTTCTTCGATGCTTTTGTTAATTAAAGAAGTAATGCCAGGAAGCCGGGCTCTAATTACAGATTCCAAATGCTGACACCAAAGGAATATTCTAGTAAGTAAATAGATATGCTATACAGAAATGCAAATAACCGGGAAACAAAACCTGTGAGAGAACTTTTGCAAGATATTCAGAGCCCATTTTTCTAGCTAAATGTCCATAATCAAGATTAGTGGCAAAGAACTCGCACTCCTTCCTCCTAGAGGCAATCATGTCAACATTTTTGTTAATATCAGCTTGTGAACGGTTTACTACTCCAACCCAAGGGTGTTGAAGTGGATAAGCTCTTCCCTCAAGAACCTGCATTTAAAAAGAAATGAAAAGAGAAGAAGAAAAGTAAACATGTGTAAAATGGGCAAGAACAAATAAGCCCTATGTGTGATCCTATTCAATGTTAAATTAACAAAACATATATTGGTTAGGTTTTATACACTGCAGCAGATGCCCAGTCAAGTCATAAACATACTCTGAATGCAAATTAAAATAGGAAGAAAGCTTACATCTATAGCATTTGTTCCCTTGTCCATCAAGTCGAGCTTGGTTAACACACCAAATGTCCTTTCACCTAATACAATTAACGACGACTATGATACTATTCTTACAAGACAGTCCGATTAAACTGTAACCAGCAATTATAAGAAGACAGATACCTGCAGGATCTACTTCTCTAGACAGCTTCATAGCATCAGATGTCGCTATATCTTGATTAGCTGGAGTTATAGCCAGAATGATGCAGTTTGGCTGTGCAATCAATGGAGAAGAGAAACCGGGCATTTGAATCCCCAAAGGTCTAATAAATTCTATCTTAGATAATAAACTGATTATTCATTGGAAAAAGGAACTAACAACAAACAAACATCAAATATATCTTTACCCACAGATATTAGATAGAGTTACCACAAAGGAAAACTTTAGCAATTGGGTCGAAAACCTACTAAGCATCGTATACAGCCATGAGGACAATTTCAATTTATAATTATAGTATATTACACAAATCCTAGAAGGATGCAATTAATTTTACTTTTCTAGCTTCCATCCAGCACAAATTATTGTTAAAAAGGGAAATTTACTGTTACCTTCTCAACATATGAGCGAACCATGGTTTCTATGTCTTGAACAATACTCTCTGGCTGTCCCTCTACCAAAAACAAAACCACTATTTACAATCTAACAGATGAAAAGAAAGAGAAATTCTTTAGGAGACCGGGAGGTATACCTACAGCAACCTTCGTTAAACCAGGCAGATCTATTAATGTTAAGTTGACAACTGCAAAACCATGAATTACAATTGTTAGTAAGCAGAAAGCAAGATTACTAATAGTACAAGGATACCATAGAATGAATTTAAACAGGCTACTTTTCAGCTTATTTAACAGAAATCAAATTGTAAATGCCAGTACCTTTTGGTGAGTAGATACTGAGATGAATCGGTACAGGAGAAATTTGTTTTGATTTCCCAGTCATCCTATCAGTTTCATCTTGGATTTCCTTCCGAACCATAGCTGCATTAGGAAAGAAGTAAACCAGACAATTCAACTGCAACTGGACATTTTATTTAATTCACATCCAAGAAACGGGATCATTAGTTCATTGCTAAAACTTATAAACAAGAAGCAATAGCAAGTACATGAAGTTATCATTGTAATACAGTTTCTAACGATGACAACACTATGACTTACGGACACGTTAATAGTATGACTGATA